TCGGGAGTCATTTGCATTTTCTACTGCAAGTTGGAGCCCATGGCTTTCTTTGTCTTCGATGATACCATTTTGCGACTCGTTCTATCTCGGCCACGGTTGGTTTGATTCTTTCGTTGCGTCTTGCACAGCCTATATAGACACCCACTACCATCGTACCGATAGACATTTCAATTTTACCACTTGACCTTTTACCACTTTGACCTTGTCTTCTCTCCCAAGAACTACAGCGTGCTAGAACACTAGCGCAAGCGCCAATGTGATGTCATCTGACATCCCACGTCGACTATCATTTTACCCCTCACTAAAGCGGAGCCGAAGGTTATCCACCGGGCGCCTCGGAAAATAGTTGACAGATGACATGGAACTTAGTAGCACGGGGCATCTGTTCCTGACTGGATAGGTTAGGTTATCGCCGGCGTTACTGTGATTACTGTGATTGATGTATGTAACCGTATGTCATTTCAGGCTGTCGTATTTCTTACTAAGTCGGAGTATGAGTATCATTCATGATTTGATGCTATACATAGTACGATTACCTCAGATCGTAAAACATGTACCTAAGACAGAATGTATATGCAAGTAATATGGACTAAGATATGGATCGCTGGGTTTGGTGGTTGGGGAATGTCAGCCCCATCATGCATGGTTGCATACGTTGTTATAACCTATTGGGGGCTGGATTTGGTAGGCTGGGCTGTGCTGTGCTTCTTGGATTAGTGCCGTGATGATATAGTCACTGTAAACATAAATGCGAGTAGCGGTGGGCTATGGAAAGTTAAATGGAGTTAAAAGAGTTGCTGACCTTCTGCAGAGATGGGAGGTCACTATATTGCGTACATTTATACTCGATGTATTGCAAGCAATACACATCGAGGCTACGCCATGTCTGGTGCCGACGCAGCTGGTAGATTGTACCGGGTAGCCTGAATCACATTAACCCTGGCTTAGGAGGTATACATGAAAGCTTTTCATAGTGTTACAATTTATGAATGTTATCTATGATTTTATTTCCTTTTTTCTTCTTTCTTAGAAATAGTAGTTCTACCTTTTTATCTGAACTTTCCAGGTCTTGATATCTCAAGGCAAGCTTACTGGATTTACCATTATCAATTGTTATTATTAGTATCATCTTCTAGAAATATAAAGGTTGATATAGTTTTAAGTAGTATTCAAAAATATAAGTATTAAGTTTACTGGTTATGAGGTTATTTAAGAACAGAGCCAAGCATTTTGTATAGGAAACTGGAATCCTATACGGAGTACAGGGTGGAACTGACTGCTAAGCCAGCTTCCAATCTAGGGTCGGTTAGAGCGAAGGTCAGCACAAGTGGATCAACCGTAGTGACGATCAATGGACTACCGAAAGCCATTGCCGACAGAGAGATGCAAGGGAGTCCTTAAGCAATCTCAACAGAACTCTATAGAGTAGCTTCGCGGCGATGTATCAGAATAATAGATTGTCGATGGTCACCCTTAGACCAAAGACGTGGCTCATGGCCAGCCATCAACTAACTAGCTGGTTAGCCATCATATGGAATGCACTTGCATTGACACTTCTAGTACTTAAATCCCCCCGTCTCCCACGTAATCTCGATAGTGGCCAAGGATCAATCCACTCCACACTCTTCAATCCAAAACACTTAGTAAGTATCCACCTCATTATTCCGTTTGTGCTGGAAACATGCTAACCCTTGGTTAAGCCATGCATCTTCCTCGCGTTCTTCCCTTCGTTCTAGCCTTGGCTGCATCAGTCAGTGGGCTCCTCAGTGACTTCAACTGCCCAGAGTCCGACATCAAGGCGACAAAGTGTCTGGGTATGCATGACTGTCTCTACGCAAATCCCGACAGTTGCACAAGTTTCATATATTGTGAGCCCAATGACGACGGTGTGACAGGAGCGCCAGTGGTGCAGGACTGCCCCGATGGTCTTCTATGGAACGATAAAAAAAAAAGAATGTGACATTGCAGACGAAACAACATGTGTCAATGAACAGGAATGATCAAGAATAAGGTACAAGAAATTATATCGCACATCTATTAACTTTTCCTTCAGCTGCGCTGATACTCAGGTGTCCTCGGGCTTGATAGGGATCAGGGGTAAGGGTATTAAAGGTATTTTATGCAAAACCAGCCAAAGCTGAAACCTAAATTCTATATCCAAAATTTCAATGCACTGAAGGGATTGCCTACTCGTTCAAATGCAAGAGTGGGAGAATACAAGAACGCAATGAAGAGCTGTGTGTAACAGATTGGTCCTGCTGATTAAATCTCCGCGGCGTTGTCGATCCTGCTTTCTCTTACTCGTTGACCAGCAATCTATATTAAGTCAATATTAGGCAGAGAGGCGCAGTCTACTGGGCGTGTTATAGCTATGGCTAATATATATATTACTATTACTATAATAGGGAAGACAGCTGTAGAGATAAACGTTCAAAAATTGTTCAGATAGGTAGACCTCTAGAGTGTATCAGGAAAAGGTAATGTTAAAAAGCAGTTGCTTCCAGGAGAAGCGTATTATAAGTTAGTACCTCTAAGCTCCAGGATAGAACTAAATCGTAGCAGTTGTACTGCAGGGTATAGACTATTCTATAGCCCTAGCTGAAAGATTTAGGGCTTCTATCCCGCAGTGATAGATCATGTCGATACAAACACCATGTATCAGTATGGAAAAGGCAACGTATATACCTTCCGATATTGCTGTTTGGAAACTGAACTGTCCATGTACCAAGAGCAGGGTATACTATACAGTCATCAGACCGAATCACCATTCAATCTGTGATACAAGTTATACCAAAATACCTGGATATCAATATGTCATCAAGCATCCGCATGTCGGAGGGTTGCATAAGCAAAAGGGAGCTTTGAATCAGTCCCTGCACTAACTGACAAGCCTGGACATGATCAGAAGACTAATCTTTTAATAGATAGGTTCTAGCTCTTGAGGAGACGCTATTGGTAACAATCCTGGTGAAAAAGAAATTAACTCCTTATTTGTCTTCTTTCTTAATGTGCAGACACAATCCCTATGAAGTCACAAAAGATTACCCTCACAATTATATTTCCTCTTTCCTTTCTCTGGCCTTGAAATATATGCTCTGCGTATAGATTCGAGCTTTCGAAAGCCGAGCCCTATCCGAGATTTCAGCTAAGTAATACTATCTAAATTACCCTTTCAGAGGGGAGCGTTCAATGCCCTGGGCAGTATGCAGTACAGGCCCTAGTCTGGCTGGCAAGTCTGGCAATACGCAGTATATAGTTCTAATGCCCTTATCACAGTATAGATACCACAAAAGATACTGCATCATTGGAAACCCTTGAAGGTCCGCTGGCATCCACTGAATCTCCGTGGGCCTAACTCATATGATTCCTCATTTCGACTAATGCAGCTTCTCCGCCCCAAAGTCCTTGAGTTTTGCGAGGCTGAAGTTGTTTCTAGAAGTTGACGGTATAATACAAAAAAAAAAAAAAAAAAATCACATGATAAATGTATTGTATTGCCAGTGATACGGTTTTAGTAAGCTTACAGAAATCAAGGTAGTTATACTCCGTACCAGTCCTACAGAGAATGGCACAAAGGCGAAAGACTTGACGGCTGATTGATTCACGATTCATTGGTAGAGAACCCACAGCCTGGCCTAGTAATTGTTTGGTGGCTGGTCATTTAAATAGATCCAGTCGATCAAACCTTATTTGATTCAGCTCTGGTGGGGTCAGCCGCAGAGTATGTGTATACATTTATGTTCTCTCGTCGCCGTTGTTTGTTTTTTAGCCAGTTGCAAAAATTCCAACTTTTTATACGATTAATACTTTCCTTCTCGCTTTAACACTATGATAGACCATGATGGCGTTGTCCACCACCCCTTGGGTAGTGGGTCGTATTATTTCAAGCAGAACCTTGTCAAATATCTGAATGATCAATGTTCTCGACCTCAGATCACTCTCCATATTGGATCGCAGCCGAACAGCAGCCCGCACATTGGTAATCTGGTTACCTTCTCCACAGGATTTGCCCTCGCCGCGGCCATAAAGACAAAATTCCAGCGTGACATTAGGGCAAAGTTCGTTTATGTGGATAGCGCCCCTACTCCCGGAAAGGACCTTGTGATCAACGGCGTCAGATATCAGAAGAGTCTCGGACACACAGGAGACTTTCGAGCCAACCAGACGCCATTTATGAAGGTGCTCGACCAATTGTCCAACCTCTCTGGCGTAGCATATGATATTGAAACGCAAAACTTCTGGCGCTCGAAGCCTGCTTTTGGCGCCATCCTTCGGAACATCGTTGCCCACCATAAGACTCTGGGTGCGCATTTGTCACCAGAAACAGGCAAGTTAGCTATCCGAGCATCTTGCCCGCGCGAAGGATGCGGGCTAGCAGATAAACATGGCCTGAACAATCAATACCATGACGATAGTCGAATCACGTTCATATGTCCGGACCATGGAGAACATCATGTCGATCTCACATCGTCTCGAGATCTAGACCGGCTCGAGTTCAACACGCCACTGCGTAATCTTATCCGGATTCTCGTCTGCAGCCAAGATTCGGAAACATCCTGGATCATGTGTACTGGATCCGACTACGCCGGGTTCTACCAAGAACAGTTGACATGGCGGCTCCTAGAACGTCCTGGAAATGCCCCGATAATTTTTTATGCCCCCTTGATCCTCGATTGGTCTGGTGTCAAGCTCTCAAAGAGCCTGTATGTCAAGCAAGGATCATATAAGTACCTATGCGATGCAGGTCGCAGGTACTTGCTAGATACAGACATATTTTTGAAGGCTGAATGTGGGTTGAAGGCGCTCTTTGAGGAAGTACAGGATTGGGTTGAGAAACCATATATGCTGTTCAGGAACTACTCCTTAGAATATATCGATATGCAGCTGTTATCCCGGGGAATGCAACTCCCCCAGGAGAACGGCTTGAATCATTAGAGCATGAATCCATGGCTTCCGTTGAATATAACAGCTTAAGATGGCCCGTGGTCCAGCATTCCCTGTTATTTCGTTGCATTTGATGGTGCGAAGAATTCCGATATCTTTCGTTTCGTGCCAGTCGAGCTGGATGTTTTCTTGGGATTGTTTAGATCTTTTTTTGTCTTCTCAATAGGGCGCTCTTCCAGTTTGGCTAGATCATCTTTCTTTGTACTTTCAACATGGTGTACTTCTGGCGCCTTTAGATCGTCTTCTTTTCTCCTTTTAATAGAACGAGCCTCCGGTTCTTCTAGATCATCGTTCTTTGTGCTTTCAACAGGGCGCTCTTCCAGTACCTTCGGAATGATATGATCTTGTTCATCCAGTAGACAGCGCTCCAGGAGCTTGGGTGGAACCCAACAATACTTTTGAGGTGCGCCGTTCAAATAACCCTCTGAAAGGGCCATTTTCAATCGAATTGGCTCCTTCAATCTCCACAAATCAAGAATTTCATAGCCGTATTTCGAGACCTTTTTGCCCGCATTGAAGTCCTCGTTACCAATACCGCCATTTTCTGGGACTTCGCCAGGGACTTTGCCGTGAGAGACGCGGGCGACATGTGCGATTCGCGATTCGGGAGCGGTGGTATAGAACCAGATGCGACGGACACTCGATGGGAGGAGGTAGCGGCGGTACTCGTGGTTCTTTGCACCAGTACTGATATTTTGCATATGTTCGGGTTTGATACTCATGAAGATGTCTTCCCGGTTTGAGGCCTTCGCTTTGGTCATTGTGATAATCAATTAAGGTGAGATTTGGACTTGAGTTGAACTTGTGTTTTTCCTTTGATGATGGCGCGTAGATACCAAGGGATCCGCGTTTTAAGTTGGAGGCCCTTGTTTTGTTACTGAAATGTTCAGCCATTCTTACCGCACTAGTGCTGCATTAGGATTAGACTTGTACCTTCCAAGTTAGTACAGTTCGCATCCAATACCTGCTTCATTTTATGCTGCACTTGATCTATATCGGATACCCTATACTGCCATGACTACGATGTTCTCCGCATTATGCCCTATGGCTGACAATCGGTAAATTAATTCTATATGTCTCCCTTTGCTCCGTGCTGTTAAAGTGGCTCCCAGCTACTTTTAGACTGTACCTAGTAATTCCTGGTTTATCTATCATGCTTTAATGATTTATGTTCTAGTGCCTATTAAGGCCATGGCAACAGTAGTATCTCAGCTTTTGTTAATCATTTTTTGTCGGATTTTGGCAATTGAAATTTTACCCAGCATAGTGACTAGACCAAAGTCATTTTCCTGAATATAATGTCTAGCGGTAGCAGTCCCTGGTGGTTAAGGCCTTCTAAAGCAGGCTGGTTATTTGTTAAGTTGTTAAACTACTAAAATATAAATTAGACTATCCAATGCCATCTCCATAGTTCAGTTCTGGTTAGTAAACTATTGGGCCTTCTGCGCCAGTCCGCCCTTGATCAACTTAGCCTTGGAAATAACTCTGATGCTATATGTGTATTAATCCGGACAGATTCACAGTCAATTTGACTTGTCCACTGGGAGTTCTCCAGACTTTAAACCCTATACTGGCTTTAGCTGCAAATTACCATCTGTAGGCCCTACCTAGTATAGCAATATAGTGGCATCGTGATAGAAGAACATGCGTGACTGTAGAGGCGGATCAGGGTTGTTCTTAGTCCCTGGGACCATGCTGCCTGGACAGAAGGTCGCTTGCTTAATATCTCTATAGAGGTTCTCCGGATTTATGTAATATATTAAGAATGTAGAGACAAAGGCCGAGCTATCCCCAATCTCTCCAAAAACCATGACATTGTTGGGCTATTGCCTATTTTCCAGATCAGTCCAACAGGGCGAGCGCTATTTATCTGTAATCCGGGCACAAAAGACGCCTACACAGATAATCAGATCAAATATAGAGAGAAATATCCTGTAGCTTTTCGTTGATATATGATTCACCTTGTCTTTTAGGGTCCCAACCGATCATGTGACTTAATGTTCTGGTGCACTACACAAACGATATGTTTACCAATTTCGACGAGTTCTTCTAGTTCGTTCTAAATTATAATCGTATTAAGATATGGAAGGTTTGATTGATATGGTCTTGTATGATACGGATCGTGGGCGATAGTAATCTTTTGCCTAATAGTAGCTTTGAAGTATTTTAGTCTTTCTCTAAACGCTTCGGCAATCTTAAATATATTGCGGCAGTTGAGAAGGTTATACAATGAAGACACCAAAGATGCCAAGATGACGCCATCAACCTGCAATCAGTTTACAGTAATTATCAGATTCAGGGCCGCACTGGCAGGTCGACCGTAGATTAAAGTCTTCAAAGGCGGGGTTTTCCGCTGTCGTGATCGAAGCCATCAATCACATCGTTTGATATCGACCTCAGGTCTTCACTCATATATCATGATACAAACTGTCAGTTTTCAAGTGATGAGAAGTGCAGAAAATTTACAATGGCACCAGTAAAGAATCGAAATGACTTGGACAAACCGGGCTTCTCACCGGCAGAAGAAGAAGTGGGAATCACGACAAATTCGCATCAAAGGACAGACAGAAACCTACAGAAGATCCATCGCGAAGTTGACTTCCGCATCCTTCTGTGGTACTCCTTCGTTTATCTGATTATGCGTATCGATGTGACCAATATTTCAAATGCGGCTATTATCAACATCGAAGAGGGAAATGGAATTAAGAAGGAACTGGGCAATTTGTCCAGTGAGCAGTGGGCATGGGCATTGAGCATATTTTAGTATGTTTATTCAAAGAATATTCGAACTCCTCTCTTAACATAAACCAAGCTATCCATATATGTTTTTCGAACCAGCATCTACCGTCCTTTTGAAGAGATGGTCGCCTTCGATATGGATGTCGAGGATTATGATTACCTGGGTTCGTTTTTCTATTCTTAACCACACAAGTCTCTATCAAAACTAATAAATCAAGGGAATCATTTCAATGTGCCAAGGAGCTACTAGAAATTATGGTGGCATTCTTGCTACTCGTTTCTTTCTGGGCTTGGCTGAGGCTGGCTTCTATCCCGGAGTATTGTACGCTGCTAATTAAAAGTCATAATATTCTCTAATCTCTAATTCGGATATAGATATCATCTGAGCTTCTGGTATAACACAGATCGAATGCCACTTCGACTGGTAAGTGCATCCCTCTTTTATTTGATTATAGCTAAGAAATAGGCATTCTTCTACGCATCTGGCGTTTTTTCAGGAACTATCAGTGGTTTACTAGGTATGAATGCCTTTATTCTATCATAGGCTGTTGACTTATATTTCAATAGCATATGCCATATCTTTTATGAACAAAGCGGGTGGGCTTTCGGGATGGCGCTGGGTATGACCTGAACTATCAAAGAAAACAGCGACCTGACTCGAACAGGTATTCATCCTCGAAGGCATCCCGCCTATTCTTTGTGGAGTATATACATACTTCTTCCTCCCGAATTGTACGTTATCCCTTTCAGGGTTGAATGCTTAATTCTGATGAAAAAGACCCTGAGACCTCCGATTTCTTGTCCGAGTCAGAGAAACAAACTGTACTCGAAGGTCTTTCCAGCGATGCACCGAAAATGAAAGCGAAGACCTTCCAATGGGAAGAAGTCAAGATTTTACTGCGTGATCCGACAATGGTTACGTTTTCACTGCTGTGGATCACTCATGGCATCGGAGGCTGGGGAATCTCTTTCGTCCTTCCTACTGTCATCTACGAGTTGGGAATGACCAACACGGGTATTGCGCAGTTGATGTCGATGGTGAGTTTATCATTGCAATTGAATTTGGACAAAGTTAACAAATGATTAAATAGCCGCCCTCCAGCCTAGCGTTTCTCACGCTTGTTATACTAGGCTATTTCATTCATCAAGACAAGTTGAACTGCTGGATTGTAGCCATTGCCTGTAAGTATATCACTCTTCAGATATACAATGCTCTAACGTGGGGATAGTGGAACTTGTATCAATCATTAGTTACATCATTTTGCTCACAACTGATAACACCATTGTGAAATACATATTCATTATGATTTCCAATGCAGCAGCATCGTGTGTTTACCCTGTGATCTGGCCTGGTACGTTCATCCGCTTTAGTATACTGGTTCATATCTAATATAGCCTTTTCAGAGCGAATTCGAGCAGTCAAAGGGACTACATCATCAGCCCTTGCTATCGGAATCACAAACGTATGTTATTGCTATGCTCGTATCAATGCCTACTAATACGTGATAGGCCTGTGCCCAATTGATGGGTATCGTGGGTCCTCAAGTATATCAATCCAAGTTCGGTCCTTCTTACCATGTCAGTTACGGTACTTCAATTGGACTATTATCAGGAACAGTCATTTTTATTGTTCTCAGCTGGAGATTATTGAGGCAAAGAAAATGAGCAATGGTCTCATGCATATTAGCTACATCAGCCAGGCCATCCAGTATCGTCAATAGTATTGTTTAATCTAGATACTAAATAAAATATAGGAGTGAATATACTCCGTTTGCCGTTTTTGGCTACCTGGTCACATGCCTCGCGCGCATACTGTGTATTCACCTTCATGCCCGTCACGTAGATAGATCCATTATCATACCATCCATTCGACATTGGCTCGATTCCTCCATGTTGGCCACATTGGCCGTCAAGGCTCTCTAGAAATCAGCGTCTCACCATGGGCAACAGCATCTCAGAACAACAAGGCCTTTCTCCCTTCTCCCGCCTGGGTTTGGTCTAACAACTCTAACGTTCAGCGAGTACTCTCCCAGCCGTACAGCTGAAAGTCATCTGACTTTCTGGCTGTTGGCCTAAGTCTATCCTCCTAACTGACCTAGTGCCGCTCGAGATCGCTCTTGGTTCGGTGACGACCACACGCCCATCAAGTCCTTTGTCACAGGTATGCTTGAAGACTCGGTCGAAGTCGTTGGGATTGAAACAGTCGACCTACCCAACAAGACCTCACCAAAGAAAACCGGTCCGAGTTCGCACGGTGTCGTCCGTTTGAAGAATGTGCTCCATGCCCCTCGTCTGATCTGTAATATCATTGGAAACCCTATTCTGAAAGACTACAATGTCCTCACTTGGTTCTCCGATACTACCTCCGGTTCTATTACCAGGCACTCTGACGGGCGAACCGTTGCCTACATCAAGCCTATGACTGGAAATGTCATGTTCTGGGAAGTCCGCCTTAGCGGACCCCCGGTCGGTCCCAAGGTTGGACCTTCACCTTTTAACCCATCGGATGACTACATGATTCACGCCTTCTGGCCCCATAGCAAGCGGCGCAGATTTGCAGCCTTACAGGCCTCTCATCAGACTCAGACCAAGGTCTCTGAGCCTCTCATTCAGAACAAAAAGGCATGGCTAAAGAAACACCATGGATCTGAATTCAAGTTTCTCCGAGACCACGGGTTGAGCATCTACAAGGACGAGGATCGTGAGGAGGGTCGTGCGATTCTGCGGGCCCTCATGTCCGATGATGATGATGAATCAGAGGCCTGGTCCCAGGAGAACCTACATGAATTTTGAAACAAAGCGATGGGAATCGAGGCTAGATGGTGATGGAGAGATAGAAAACTGACCAAATAGCATAATCACTGGTAGTCTCGGATACTCGTGCTATCCCTGAGCTCTGAAGAACAATTCAACTAGGTCTATAGGTGGCTTCTGCTACATTATAGCGCTGTTGATGGACCTCTACCCACAGAAGTTGTCTCTTTCCTATTTGAAAATTTCTACCGACTGTCGGTTTAATTAGGTATGTTGATACTCTGCATGAAAAACTAATTTCACGTACCATTTTATGGGCAAATTGAACGTTATCACCAAAGAATAAATCATATACATTAAACTTAAGACCAAGAACTGGTCTACTAATAGATAATCAAGGCTCCAAATGTCCCAACCCGGACCATTCTATGGGAAAGCCTTACCAGTGTACTTTTGAGCTTGCATCTTGAAATCCCGTCTAGATTGTTAGATCGATATATGCACGTGAGTGATAGAGTTCCGACCCAGCGCTCTGAGAATTCGGAGCAAGTTAGGAAAGAAAATGTCGAATTGATGCTTCTCGACCCATTCTGTCTGTTTTTCAAATGTGTCTCTCTCCTTGCCTACCATAGCTTTCAGGCCAATGTCTCGTAGCTCCGTGAACAGAGAAACGGCATCATCATATGAATGATGCGGTGTCCAACCGTCTCTCGATACTATATCCGCAACAGAGTCCCAGAATTCCTGCACATCATTCCATCCGTCGCTTTCCTCTGCATGAATACGGAGGTCATCCTCTGTAAAATGAATAGGGCATGGAAAGTCGAATCCCATTTCATTCCAGCTTCTGAAGCATCGTTAGTGATATACTGTAAAAGATGAGCTCTGAGAAATACTTACCTCTCAAGCCTTATCAGAGATTCTCGCAAGGGTATAAGTTCATCATCCCATGTGTCTCCCACGAACAAGATTGGATCGCACCGTATCCTCCCGTGGTCAAATCGGAGGACTTTATTGAGAAGGGGAATTTCTTTAGCAATTTGCTTTTCATAGAGGTAGAGCAGTATCGAGCTACTCATAAGACCTCTGATCCGAGTCTTTTCCGCTGGATCAAGATCTTTGAAGTTTGCAGGGCCTTTCAAAATGACTTTCCCATTATAATCCACTAGCCTTGCATGGCGTGCTTGAAGTATCAATGGTGCTGCCCACAAACCCTGCCAGTCTATAACACTAGAAATTTTGCCATTTTGGACAAAGATGTTTCCAGAATGTAGATCTGTATGCCAGATATATGGTGCAACTACCGCCGGGTCGTTCGGGAGGAGATAAGGAGCAACTTTGAGATACTTGTGTAGTAAAGAGATATGACTGCTTGGAGAGTTCTGCGTTGCTGAAGTCACTAGCCGGTCATCTTCAGATCGTGGAGTTGCGTGTTTCTGTATCCATGCCTCTTCTCGATGAGCTAGAGAGAGCACATAGTCCTGTGGCTGTTTCCCTTCGATGGGTCAGTTAAGACAACAAGGAGATAGGTCGAGAACAAACATGGCCCACGATCAAAAGCCATCTCTGCACGTTCTTTTAACCAATAGTGTCTTTCTGCGACTGGGCCTATGGCCAAATGATGTTGGGCTTTGTCCTTGAGCTCAGAAGATACATCTGCACATATGTCGACTGGCACGGCATCTTTGATGTTAGCACTTGCATAGTACAAACTCCCATAACTAAGTCATTATTAGCAATATAACAGATCAACGTTGGCTCCGAACCGAATACCAATTCAGTGGCGCTTGAAGCATATTCTTCTCTAGTTGGACGAGATTCTTCATAATCTCTACCTTCTCTTCGAGAGAAAGAACATGCCATATATCTTCCAGCTTTGTTCCGGGGGCTTCCTCCATTATGATATACTCAGAGCCGACAGCATTGTTCACATCTGCATTCCAAGCATATACTTGAGGTGTTGGTATTCCGAGGATTGTGCGGGCCTGGATTGCCTGTTAGAAATATCATACCGACACAGCATGTTCAATTCTTACGAATTCCATCGTCGCAACTTCAGATGCCGTGGTGTAGTACCTAGGCCCGGCAATAGGATGGGGTATTCTTGCGATCACAGATGATCCATTATCCAGCTCGAGTCGGAAGGTTTTGTTGAATAATCCTTCAGCCAGTTTTGTAATCGCAATGCATGTGTCCGCTCCGACACTTTGCGCCGCAATTCGCTGCAATTCAGGCATATTGAAAGGCGAAAATCGGTCCCGAAGTTGTTGCTCCTCATCCCATAGCCAACGGCCACTGGTGTATCGGAAGAGATCCGTGTCAGGAGGTGGCATGCCTGCAGAGCTCATGAAACGCAGATATCGGCGAGACACGTTACAGGGACGGGGAAAGGGGCTGAGTGGTAATTTCGAAGCATAGCGTAGTGTATGGAAATGATAACTTTCTAGGGGATTAATGCAGAATTTAGCTGCTGTCCGCCTGGTTGACAACTTCATGTTTGTCTCGATAGCTTAATGCGTGTTGCGCGAGAATGTCGCCGCCTTGCAGTGGTTCACACTGGCAACCTCGCAGAATCTCCCTTGCGTAAATTACAACCCCGGGATACCCACAAAGGCTTTGACGGCCTTAAAGTAGTTGGTTCATCACAAACCATAACTGTCTGCCTAGTTTTCTCCATCCTCGAGTTTCTTACAATCGAAATGTCCTCAGATTCGAAGCCAGACATATTTACTTACGCCGACTTTGACCTTCAAGCTTTGTGTCATAAAGCGAGCACACTACGGCAGGGTGTTTCGTGTGTCTGTAGGCCTGATCAACGACCTTGCTCGGGAAGTTTCAACTGGGCTATCTTCATTTCGTTTGAAGATGGGATACGATGGGTCTTCAGATCCCCACACCCCAGACCATTCATATCAATAGAAATAGGCATGAAGCTACTGGCTAGTGAAGCTACCACACTCCGATATCTTAGAGCTCACAGCGACGTGCCGGTCCCAGAAGTATACAATTATTAGTAATAGACTCCCGCAGACCATTCTTCTAGCCCTAATCTCCCATAGTGCATCATCCGAGAATGATATCGGGGTACCCTTCATTATTATGAGTGAAACGCAGGGGCAGCTATTGTCAAAAATTTGGAGACCAGCTAGTTCTCCTCAACTCGACCTAGATACTCCCAGCAAGGCTAGAATGCTTATCTAGTTGGATACTATTACTTGGAAACTTTCACAGTTACGATTTAAAAAAAATCGGCTTACTCTTTGAAAAAGATAGGTCCTTCGAAATTAAGACATGCCTCTCGCGCGGTCATATATTATATGGACGATATAATTTAAAGATCCTGTGTGGCTCTTTTACTTCTGAGACAGAATTCTATAACAGCCTTGTCTCTGCTTTCTCGGAGCATGCCGAGATTCTATAATTATCATATTATTATTTTATGGTACCTGTTCCCTCGCCGGAAGACTATCAATTTATTCTATAATACCAGAGTGCCGTGGACCTATAGAGCGACTTTATAACTGCCAAACGCAAACCCGACTCGTTAAAAAATAGATTGGATTATATAATTGCAGCTAACACTCTCCGCGACATTATACCCAGACTTAAATTTTTAGCTGTCAATCCGAAGACGTTGCCGTTATACCACGCTGATTTGAGCGTCAATAATATATATATATCGATAAAGATTATAATATTACGTGTATCATCGACTGGGCATTCACTTCGCCTATACCTAAATCTATACTACTCACCGCGCCAGGGTTGCCGCAATACCGCGACGAAATTAGTCCAGAGTTAGTTGTACCTTTTATAAACGGTTTTATTACTGCTATACCGGGGTCGATCGAAAAGAGTTTAATCCACAAATATCGCGAATCACTTGAGCGGGCCCAAGTCTCTTGGAGACTGAGTCGACTCTTGAACCTTGACTCTATAAGTGACTCTAACCTTTTTACTACTATATAACACATTGCTCGTGGTTTTGAAGTGGATATAAAACAATACTTCTTACAACAGCGGCGTTCCCCTCACTATATCCAGCTGTATAATGAAGTCCAAGAAAAGAATCAGCCGCTCTCGAAAATTGAAAAGGACGAAAAAGGATATTTTCAAAACAAGGTCATCATAAATACAATAGCTAAGAAGCTTACGCTCGTGTCCGAATGGAAAACAAAATATACTGCCAACAACCCACCCAAGCTTCAGAGAGATATGTTTGTCGCTTCTCCCAACTTGTGGAAGTGGATCCAACGGTTTATGCAGGACTGGGAAGATATGCTTGATACGTCCACCAAAGAATCACGATTTTAAGTGAATGTGCTCGACTGGAACGTGCCATAGTTCTTGGGCGTCATCATTATTTTGAATAACCAGTGCATTACCAGCCAGGTGTGTCTCTGGCCGCCGCTATTTGAATCGGATGACTTCTCATGAGGTAGCTTAGACAAGATAGTGTATATGCTGGTTGAATGATGTCAATGGGCAATATTATGATCTACGCATTGTAAGGACCGTAAGATTAAATGCATAACTCCTCGGCCAAAGAGCTGCTATATGCTAGTCTCTCAGGCAGACTCAAACACGATCCAGTGATATTATTACCCAAGACTGAAGTCCTCCCGGCTGTTACCGTTGCCTCGGGTAGATGACTGCGTGCTTTCACTTGGCATTCCTTTATCTCATTATTGAGTCTGCTTATCCACGTAGAATAATCTTGATTGACCCACCCGCTACTGGATCACTCTCACCATTGTCCTTATTGTAGAAGACTTCGCCTCGGAGTGTTAGGGTTGATGTTGCCTTGTTGCCACTGGTGTATTATAGTGCAGAGTACTATGACCAGCCCACTATCCAGAAGGCTCAGTCACACTACTGCATGTTGTACTGCCATACTAATCCTACTGTAAGGAGTACACTTCCATCAGCCGAGAAGTCCTATTTCTTCTGAGCACGCCTCTTTCTCTTCCGTCTAGACAGCTATCCAGTCAGATATCAAAAACAGACACACTCTAATACTTAAACCATAAAACCCCTCTAGATATAACATAATCGAAACACCTAATTAACTTTTTCACTATCATGCAAACGCCCCAACAATCTAAAAACAAGAATCAAGAATCCAAAGCACAGACCAACACAGAAAGAAAAAAAAGAAAAACCCAAACACCATCCCATTCGCCCGTAAAAAAACACCTCACCGTCACCCACCATGAGTCACCCTCCTTAATAATATTATTATTATGCTTATAATTATTATTCCCTTCCTCCTCGGCAAAAAGATCAAAAAGAAAAACAAGCTAATCCAAACAAGCAGGTAGATGCGGTATCATGGAAGCAAAAAGGAGGCAGTGCAGTAGGCAACAGCTTTTCCAAAATCAAGCTAAATTGTTGACCTCTTATTTTTCATCCACTGAGAGCGAGGCATTTTCGGGAACTTAAGCTTTTGCGTTATCGCGGTTACATGTGGGTCGCTCAGCCCTATGGCTTGCAGGGTCTGGATTAGCGGCGTTGGTGGGTTAGTTTGGACTAGGACAGTTGACTTCGTATGTCAAGAGTACAGGGTAGTATATGTAATAAGGTGAGGGATTTTGTTGGGTTTAGTTGGGTTGTTTCTGGTTTGATGGATTCTTTGCTTTGAATGAATTTCGGGAGGGTTGCTTGGTTGGTAATGGGTGGCAGCTGTGGTACGCTGCACCTTGGTCTGCTAGTATGTCTTTTTATGCTACCACTGTTAGTTAGGGTCACATTTTGGGGGAAGTGGAGGGGGGGGCACATGATAATGCTGGGTGTGATTGATCTAGGTTGACTGGGGTCTATGAGATGCTTTCAAAATATACTATGTACTGCATTTAATTCATGTGATTTGGTCAAATAGTTGAACGACAACAGTGGTAAACATAAGAAAGACAAATGACAAAATACAGAAAACAAAACAATAGCTTTTATACGGGTTCTATCGGTTGAGCGAAGGAAAACCAAAAAAAAAACAAGCCAACTGCAACGCATGTTGAAGCGAAACAATTCTGTAGCCAAGTTTTTAATCACGACCCTCCAAGAACTAATTTTCTCCCTTCCTAGCGAGATCTGCCGACTCTCGAGTCCCCAAGTATTCCCGAGCATCCTTCACAAACCACAAGAGTCTCTGTCGACGGTGATAGATATTCGTCATATCCACCCTCGCGCCGGCATCTGCATCATTCTGGCCGGTGATCAAGATAAGCATGAAGAAGGTCTCGATAATACTGGGCGGAATATTCGAAATCAACTGCCCCGTCGTACTCCACCGCATCGCACTCGAGCCGATCACACACCCAATAGTCAGCAAGAAGCCGGCAACCACCATCAGCAGATGCGAGCAGACATTCCCCATCGCGATCGAGATCCGGTGGGTGACAGACGATGTATCAAGATCGTCTTTGGGCGGAACGGCCATCTGCGTCCTCGCGAAGAGGGTCATGTCTCTCTTCTCCAGGCTCTGCACTTGTCCGACCGTGTACTCTTTCACCTTGCCTTGGATATTCCGCAGAATGAAACTGTCGAATAGCCCGACTAACCCCGCATATGTGCCAATCAGGAGCCACCAGTTGTCATTGAAGTGGAAGACTGGTCCGACAGCGGCCCATGCGACGATGACGGCCACCAGGATGATAATCCCGACCAGAGTCCCGATGATGTCGGCGTAGTAGAATACGGCTACTTGCAGTGGGTTCTCACGCGGCGGCTGGATTACCTCGGGTTCGTTCGGCAGATTGTCGTCGGTGATGCAGCGGAGCTCCTTCTCGAGCGTGGCATCGAGGCGGAAGATGGCGTCCAGGCAATTGTTGACATAGTCGGCATAGCATTCGCGTAGGCAATCCAGAAACGCAAATACCAGGACCATCAGGGCTGAGGTTGCCGAGTTGATGTACAGCTGCCACTGGTCCGTCCAGCCACAGTAGTGTCCGAAGCCCAGCCAGATGAAGATGCAGACCCAATACATGCCCACGGTGATGATATGTCCGAACGCCCACGCGGAGAAGATGATCATCCGCGCAAACCAGCCTTGTGTCCGCGTCCCTTGATCCAGCGCATCCAAGGGGCGATTGCTGCTGATTTGTGATACATGACAGACTCCCTCCGGCCCCAGTTTGTTCTTGAGCTTCGTCAGCATTCGCTCATGGCTGTTCCGTCTCGACTTCATCTCGGCCATGGCCTCCTGCTGCTCGGAGTATTCGCGGAGTAGTTGGCGCATGAGGAAAGAGTCGAACACGTAGCACAGGATCGCCTGCACATCTGAAATGACGGCGGTCCATTTAGCCGAGTTCCCAAAACGAATGCCCAGGAAAGCCCAAACGAGAAGTGCGCCAACGATAAAACAGAAGACTGGTGCAGACCCAGAAATGCGGACAACTTTGTCCAGCCACCGATCCAGCAGCCGAGGACTTGCCTTGACTTTGTATCCAGTAACCTCGTCGGCTGTTGTCGTGATGCCGTCCTTCGCCTCCTTCGTATCTTGTTTTATGGGCAGATTTTGCGTCTCTGCAACACCCTCAATCTCGCACCGGAAGGTTGGCTTGTAATGCTTCATTTTGTCCAAATGGGGGTGACCATAAATTCAACGGATATGGACGACAGGATGGATGGGGTCAGGGCTCTAGGGGGGTCGAGTCACTTCTGCAAATTCGCAAATTGCCTCCAGGTCGGTCAGGGATACTGGGATCAGGGATACGATCACAGTGGAATTGTTCATAAGTTTAGAATCAGCCATTCGAAAGAGTTATGGTAATGACAAAGGTAGAGATGTGTGTTCAGCAGTATCGCGTTCACAGTAGAAACAATGATCTTAGAAGGGATAGATTCAGAGTATGGGTGATAGAGGAATTCGTGCGATATAGACTTATATACCGTACACAGCCAAGGTGTTTATTTTTCTGCTACTCTCTTTTACATAAGAATATTTTCTTAGTTTTTCTTAGTTTTTCTTATTCCACCAAGACCCACCGGTCGAACCAGGATAGAATATCGACCCATTGTTCCCCAAAGGTCCCTAAAAGAGGGTCATCACGAGGGTTTGGGTTAGTTAGGGTCCAAGCAAGATGCCAGTTTAGACTCAACCTGGTCTGTGTCATATTCGCTCCACCGTTGCAATTGCACAGCCAGCATAGCTTGCAGCCTGCATGTAACCCTACCCGGAAGAAAAGTCTGATCTTTGGTCCGAGAATATGGGTCCAAACCAAGGCTGGCAGGTCACCTTCAACCATGAGCAATTTTCCAACGATGGTAATGCAGCAGGTCTAATAGGCTACTTCATTCAAGATGTGGACTGATAGGTGACTCAGTGAGGTTACGCAACTATTATTCAACCCTAACTAGTAATGAAGGCCAGAATGACTTTGTCCTGCCTGTCTATACCATGGATCTAGACTATGTACACGATTGGATACATAACTTATCTACGCAAGCTAGTCTCAGTTCTTAGCAATCCCATGAGCAACACGAGACATAAGCATTTGCTGCAGGATATCGGCGCATTGACCGTAGAAGCTAGGCTGATTTTTCACCGAGGTCCAACCGTTTACGTCAATCACGTAGCTCTTGCCTTTATTGCGCACGATGTCAAACCCACAGACAGACTGACCAAATCCTGTTGAGATCTTGGTGGCCGCGTCTGCCTCCTCCTTGCTCACCTCGGTGGGTAGTCTTACTTCCTTGCCACTCGCATCCCGATGGACCACGCCTGTGACGGCGGGCGATTTCCGCGTCACCGCAAAACAGTACTGGGGCCCCACTGCGTAGGCTTTGACATCCTCTCCATTGTCAGCGTTCAGGAGCGGCTCGTACACGTAACTGCTGGTCGTCCCCTGCTCGGTAATACACCGGGGCACGACCAAGTCAGGGTCGTATTCGGAGCACTTGTTGCCCACTTTCCGAAACAGTCTTCTCCCACCGCCGGTACCCTGGGAAGTTGTTGGGAAGTAGATGTAGATGTTGTGGTCCTCCGCACTGACGGGCTTCTCCACAAAGGGCTTGTGGAGCGTTCGGCCGTCCACCAGGAGCGTGTTCCCGTCGTCCGAAAGAGACACGCTCGGTGCATGGGATCGTTCACGGGCTGCCTCTCCTTCCGCAGGACCAGGTATCCCCAGCCCAATCCGATCGTACACGTGTTGAACGAGACCCCAATCATGGGCCCTGGGACCACCGTCACGGTTCACCTCAAGGCGCTTCGGAGTCCGCACACCCAGGTGATCCAAGACTCTATTACAGAGCCGACGATCAAAGAGAACGCCCTGCATAAGCAAGTCATTATAGCAGAACGGCGAGCGGAGTCTCGTGTACGAGATGACCTTCTCGAGGGGAAACCCATCTGAATAAAACGCGATCAGGAAATCACAGATGGGCCATTCCTCCGGCTTCTTGCTCAACAGCGTCTTGTCGCCGAACAGGACCACTTCGATAAGACCGTCGATCTGTAGGCGACGGAATATCTCCTGGTTGGCCTTGCTGAGCGCCTTGTCTTCCATGGCGCAGATGCCGAGTCGCCAGGGAGGACTCATGACGCGGTCTTTTTGCGCTGGCGTCTGGCACAGCTCGGCCGAGATCCGTTTGGCCGAACACTTGGGCGAGGGAAGCTGGAGGATTTCGATATCCTCGTCGGTCAGACGAGCAAGGAGTCTCATGTGGTTGTCGTCCCAGCTGGTCTCGGGACCATTGTTGACTGCCGCCAGTTTGTAAAGTGCTGACATGATTATGGGTTGTAAAGCATCGGTCGCTTAGTTGTGTTGTTGCATTGGATACTTCTTGAGCCAGCTTAGGATCTCAGAAGTCGTTGTAAATGCCATTGATGAAGGAGAAGTAATGCGTGCGATTCTCAATCGAAGATAGAATGAGTGAATTTTCCAAACGACGAGATATTTCGTCAATTGGATGCGGGAGACTCGTAGGTGCTGGGGAAGAGTTAGGGCTATTTATGTGCGGGATTAACCCAAGTACGCGAGGAGTGAATTGACAGCTGGCAGCGGACACAGCCGCAAAGGGTACGGAGACGAAAAGTTTAACATGAGTAAGACAAGATGTGACAGATGGGAGTAAATGCCGCATTCATGCAGTCATCTGGTTCCGTGGTCCGCCACAGAATTTTGGCATTTCTATTTCAAATCGAAACCGGCTACATAATCTTGTAACCAAATCCGGGGAATTTTGTATATCCAGCAGTCTCGACGTCATGTGTCATGTTCTGGAAGCTCTGCGTTTGACCCACAGTCCTTCCCGGACATTTTAATACCAACCATCACAGCAGATGATCTAATCATGATCATTCGATGTTAGGTATGCATTCTTCTTTATAGAGAACCGTGTTATACAAAGGGGTTTTGCCTTATACCCGCGTGACTGCTTCCCGTTTTAGGATTACATGCTAACCCTTTAATACTTTTAGGGCTTCTATCCAGAAGTTGACCGCTGAACCACCGGCAACACTTCGCTACCAAATCGATCTTCCCCACAAGCTAGTCTTTCTTCCAGTCCTCGTACTTGTCTCCTTTTCTTAACGCTTTGCATGCAATCGGCACCCTCCTGACCCCTAGACACGGCCGTTAAAAGACTATTAAAAAGACAATACCATCAACCGCATATAGTAACCCTAGTTGACGGATAATATAAAACGTATGAGACTTCTGGTATCAGTAGTAACCCATGCGATGTACCCTACCTTGTACGGCCTACAGTGTTATATCATAAGATTTAACTCTCGGACAGATGCTGGACATATATTGAATATCTGGTATAGATCTAACTTTGGGCCCGAAGTGCCAGATTGAATGATATCACGTTTGACATTATCGTTTACTATGTATTATCTAGACCCTGAATATTGTCACTTACTCTTCTGTTCGACGACGAACAAGGACAGCCGATTTGGTTCCACTGAACATATATATCCATTTTATTTTCGGGGTAAACCCGGCTTGGGTTTCAGGTTGAAGGTATCAAACTGGTGCTGAAACCCAAGTTATAATACAGCATTTAGAAGATATATTTGGTTTTAACCTCTAACTGAACCCAGAATACTAAGTGATAAATGGAATGAAGAAACAATTCGCAACAAATCCGTCAAACTTTATTTTGGGTATGTAAATAGTCCAACAAAAGATGCTTTTGTTGAATATCGAAGAATAATAACGCCTTAGTGCCATTCTGTATCCCCTGGCTATTAAATTGGTCATCGACAATAGCAAACATAATCCGTTACCTCGAATTCCTCTAGTTACAAAGGGAGAGGAGGAGATTGAGATGCATTAAGCCGCCCTATTTCAAAGTTTTATCGCCTTCACCTTCCTGTACAGTAAGAAGAGCGGTCTTCCGAAACTCCTCAGCCAGCATTTTGACCTATTAGATAAATATTCGGTTAGTCAATTTGGTAGATTGTTAATGGTGGAGAAAGACATCTGACCTTGGTAAACGATTCCACCGCCTGCTCGATTCCGTCCTCGATGTTCATATCACGCATATCAAAGTCCCCAGACTCCACTCCGGTTTTCATATCTCTCAATGAAGTGATAATAGAACTGTAGTTGCTGGCCTGAGAACCAAAGAGTTCGACCGTTTCGTTGAGAGCAGTAATCGCAGTCCCCATCTTCCCAATTAGATCATCGAACTGATTGCACAGGGGCCTGAGAATACTGATGAGACGCGTGACCTGCATCGTCTTACCACCTCGCCCGATGAGCTTCGTTCTTGTTTCTTCGAAGGTCTTGGTGGCCTTTTCAACCTTCTCCGACATCTGAATCGAGTTGCTCCAGCCCCAAAAAGGGACCCAAAACCATTTCATTTGATCTTCCTCAGAGTCACGCTTTGGTTGCATTAGTAATTCGAACTCTGAAGTTGTGATGTGTCAATGTAACTTACAATGACCTTTCTATCCTTCTGCATTTGCTCTTCAAACGAAATAATTTGTGCGGTTGCGGCTGCTACATCCGAGTCAAGGTATTCAATGTAACTGTTGTACTCCTTGCCCTCTTTCTTGAGCTTGGTCTTATTATACCGTTGATTAAGACTGTCAACGTTCTCTTTATTCGCGCTCGTATTCATCATAAACTGCATAGCGGTGTGATCAGCCATACCGCCGATAATCAACAAAGCCTGGGATCAACAGTAAGGTGGGCAGGGGCTTACAGCTGTCAGATCCTTGACAAGGTCCGCCATTTCTTCTTTCTTGCTGTCTGCTTCGGCTTTATGATTCTGCAAAACAATGTGGGCGCGTTTGAGGGCTCGATCGAAATTATCGTCCCACGAGGCTGGCTTTTCATATTTCGGATCCTGGAGAACACGCCAGTATGAGAGGAAGTTGTTCTTTTTATCCTTTAGCTGTAAAATGGCTCGATCGGCATATTCAATGGCCAAACCGGGAGAAGACCCTTAGGGATTCTGTCAGTTAACGAACCATTCATTTTGAGGAGAGAAAGTTTACTCTACTACTCACAGAGCCGCCCCATTGTCTTTTCTTTGAGTCCGTTACAGGATTGAGAGACTTTAACAATTGTATCTCTGGTATCCTGGTAAGAAGTATATTAGACTCTTATCGTATTCGAGATAGCTAGGGGAGAGGAATGACGTGCTGTGTAAATCTTTGGGTCGATATCTGCCAATAATTCAAATCTATTTTCCGGGATGCCCTTGCTGAACTCATCATCGCTGTTAGGCTATTGAAAATCAGAGTGATATAGATAAATTCTTTCGGCAATATGGTACAGTACCGCTAGGCATGCACACAAAAGCCGTCCAAGCTAACCACACTAGGCTCCGTATTCCCGACTAGACTCACCTTAGGGGGTTGTTTACAAAGCACCAAAAGCATTGAAAGTAGCGAAAGGGAAAACATGGAGGCCGTGAAAGACGAGACTTGGTGGGCAGCTGGGGTCAGTTTCAGCACGCCAAAAGTGAATGGCGGAGTGAATCATGCCAACACGAAGTCAACAACCGATAAGGAGGGCACGCAGACCGTTGAACGCAGCGCCCTTCTGACCTGGGAGGCCCGCGGTAGTGATACCGTCCTTTGCTCTAAGTGAGTGGTTAGCACACCGTAACTTGGCTGGATTGAGCTGACTTTTCTTTGCTTCGTAGCCCCCCACTCTGGGCAAGTACTGTGAAGGATTATCGATTGTGGAGAGTTATGGATGTGAGTTCTTTTGGACAATGCGATGTGCATAACGCAAGTCTAACTAATTTTCAACTAGCAATCGGACTTGCAGAGTGTGTGGGAATTGATCTAACAAATTGATATTGGCGCCTTTGGTTATATATCCAACCCGATAACAACAAAGCGGTTGAATTCCAGAAATGACCGTTCCTCACCGAACCGGATACTGAGTCCGATGACAAGTATTATCAACACAGGAAGTACGGATACGAGCCTTTCTCTTATAATGAAGAACTGGAAGGATGTTGATCGCCAGAGTACATCTGATTCCAATACATGGTTAACAGGGGAAGGAAAGACAGACCCGAAGATTGACGAGAACGGGAAGGCATGGAATGATCTAAGCCCTACCCAGAAGGTATATTATGGAATTTACCTGCAGGTTTGTAAGAACCTAGAGTTGGTGAAATAGTTGCGTCGGATCTATATATAGGGTGTCTCCACAGCCTACTGGTCTTTGCGGGGGGCAGTCTATAGAGCAAGTATATAGTATGAGTCCATGAGAAGCAGCACATTTCAGACCATTATCTAGCATACCTTATCAAAGGTGGATATACAAGTTTAATAGCGCAATGTGATAGGCAGTGTTCCTTCAGAGGCCATGAGGGAAATACCTCCCACGATGCTTTTGGGGCGAAGAGTTGAGATATACACAACCAAGTCGAACCAGTAGTGTTTCGAAATTCGTAGCACGAGATTGTACAAAAAGAGTGCCACATATGACTTAGCAGACAACAGGTCATATATGAGGCAGTGCAAAGGATGCATATACAGTCTTTAAGGGACTATATCACGATTTCTCGGTTCTTTTATCATATCATTCCGATTTATTTAGTTTTTATCCCTTAATTCTCTTTTTCAAAGGGGTTCCTTTGTAAAGGATGTCGCCCTCCTACTTCTTGTTCGTAGTAGAAATTGATTTCATTCTTTTGGCTGTTCCCACAAGATCTATACATCTTACCCAGAAAATATCATCTTGGGAATACACACAGTTAAATCTACGGTTAGATGTACAGTTCTACTCCATGCCTCAAAAGTTTTTGTTGAATCCCCATCGCATATAAATTTATATGTAAAGTAATAGTTCTTTTGTTAGATATAAATTTGACTTATTATTACGGCGCCATATATCAATTATATCTATTGGTATTCTCTATAATATAATATAGATAACTGTTTATTAATTAAATCTATTAATTGACTATATTATTCGATTTCGCGGAGAAATCCCTGTTCAAATACATCAAGCTTTGGTGTAAAACAAGCATTCAACGGAAACTTTTGATGGGGACTGTATACGTTCTATATTACAATGGATACACACACTAGCTTATCAGACCTTTTCACCATCTTAGTAGGTTTGTGGAAAGTTGATTTTACTGAGTTGAGGGGAATTAAGAATACATATAACGTTTGCTAGTACTTTACGGAATAGACAGAGATATTCACCGGAACTTAGCCTAGCTAATATGTTCCTTATAATGTTGAAGAGCTTCAGCAGTGATATCCAGCTATGTCAATCACCAGTCAAAGTGTGTTGTGTGGTCAAACATATTTGTTGGTAAGAGTATTATTCACTATTGTCTCAAGAATGAGCGGAGGCTCCAAGTGCCGAATCCACTTGACAAATAAAAAATTGATACCAGTACGCCAAAAATCCTGTATAATACGCCAAAGAAACCCAGAAGAAAAGAAGCAATCCCATCCTATAGGCCAAGTACCCAACACCCGCCTGGAACGCCACCCAATGCATAATACTAAAGTGGCTAAGGAAGAGGGGCTGTTTTGATTGACTTCGTCTCGCCGACAGCAAATCCTAGCCACCACCGGGTAAGTAGGTCTACCGTTTCCATATCCTCCTGCTTCATATCGTACAGCTTGGTCTTTCGAATGATAAGATTCTTGCCGTCGAAATAAGCCTCCAGTACACGTATTTGCTGTGGGCCCATTATAGAGTACAGCAGGACCTGAATGACAGCTTCTGTTAGCAGAGCTCCAACCATGGTATGGCATGTAGATATTATCTTTGCAGAAGGAACAGTAACTTACAGGGGCCACTGTATGAGGGCGGAGGGACTTTGTGTTCAACCGAGCAGTCATGATTTTTACAATGGCAATGAGTTCACCTCGAAGTAATCGATTGTCTCCAGTCGCTTCGCTGTGTATGAGACATTTCATATGGGGTAAAGGCTCATGAGTGGGTAGTGCAAAGCCAGTGAAGGATGCCGTCCAATAGTACTTGGAATATTCGGCTAGCTCACCGAGGTTGAGGTCTGGCCACCTAGACGGTCACTGTTAGCAGACAGGAGAGTGGATCCTGGACGGCAAATAGGATACATACGCTTTGTAGCCAACGCCAAAAGGCCTATTGTCATCTTCTGGATATACTTGGCTAATACAGCTGTCCATGTAGAGATGGAAACCCTCGCAATTCAAACGATCTTCCACGTCGGGGACATATGTTGAATACTCTCGCTCTGTCGGGTGGTATTCATCCTCGTAAGGAATGAAGAAGTAGGGTTTGTCGAAACTTGACTCTAATGACATGGAGCGCTGCTGAATACCCGCCTTTTCTGCGTCATGCTGGTCGATGTTTTCAGTCTCTAGGCGGCAGATTGTCTGCATGATCGTTCGGAGCGCGCGACGGTAATGTGTGCGACGTTCAAGCACCATTTCTCCTACTTGAGTCGGCATGATTGATGTACTGTCTCAGCGAAGAGATTTGGTGGAGAATGACTTGGGAGTGGATAGTGGATGAAGGGAGATGTAGAACGAGACGTTGGCCGCTTTTGTTTTGTTCCTTCAACTCGGTGGGGTTGCGCCGCAACCCCCAATCCACCAATCACGATGCGTCACGCATAAATATTTATTGAAGGTTCCTTCGGCTACTGCTAAACTACCTATTTAGTACATACCCTAGTGCCCTGTCAATCCTCCTCCCCACACCTCTATTCCTAAAAATAGTATTCATAGTACAGTCAGTTCTTTCTATTGAATGCGCTGACTGATCGGCACATATAAGAAGCAATGTGACCAAGGTCCGACTGGAGGTCAATGCGCCGACCGCGGCTATCTCAATGCTATGGTTGGGTAATCCTCATGCTCACATTGAATGAGGAGGGTGAATTGGGAGAACAACCTAGTTGGAAGTGAATGAGACTGCCCTAGGCAGGCTCGACGGCCGACCCCCATGTCAGGATGTGGTCGGCTACCACTCAACCGTGACGGGTAGTGGTTTCCAAGCAGTGAATCGTGGTGTTGAAATGTGGCATATATAGGCTTTGCATTTGACCAATCTCCTCTTTCCTCTCTGCTAGCCTTTTTTTTTTTTTTTTTTTTTTTTTTTTTTTTTTTTCTTTTTTTTTTTTTTTTTTTTTTTTTGTGTGTGCGCGTCCGCTAGACTGATTTCTAAGGCCTGTTTCTGCGTATCGAGATGGCATCGCTCGATAGATCCCTACCAGAGAGACCAGGCGTATGGGTGCAAGCAGCAAGGAGAGAAATGATAGAGAATAAGACAATCCATGAGATTGATCTTAGTTCAGCTTCGTCTATACAAGAAGAGCAATACTTGATGCTTCGCGTCCTGAGGAAATCGCTCCCGTATTACAGATTGAGTCTAGCAAAGTTTGGATTAGATGAATGGGCTAAAAATGCAGCCAGTATGTTGGAAAAATGTCGCTCATGGACAGATTACCTTGAAAGCTTCTCCAGTGAACTGAAGGAGGGGACATTTGCCTTACCTCGGTTCTATCAAAAGCAGGTTGCTCACATCCCGACGGATGCCACGTTTCGGCCCAATGTTGCAGTCAGTCCGCCTCGTAGAAGCGCTCGGCTGAAAGATCTAGCAGCAGGCATCAAAAAGCTTTCATTTGATGTACCCAGTGAGCCACCCAATACGCCCAGGCCCAAGTCGCCCGGCGAGTTCAACGATACACCCACGGTGGAAAGTGTCGCTAAGGATACACCTCCCTGGGAACGGTCATATGGACCCCAAGAGCTTTTAGACCTCAACTACCCAAAGACTAAAGACGAGCAAATCGTGAATACAGCATTGATAGACTTTCTCAATGCATTCATTATCCATCGTCGCTTCGGGTCTTATTGGACGCTATATCGGAAGCCTTTCGTGGCCAGTTTTAGGCATGGTTCCTTTGAAGCTCGTACGGACGGGTGTCTCGAAGGCGGGAATTCGGAAACTTTGAAGACTTATGCAATCGTGGAAGTAAAGCCAATGTTAAGGCGAAAACAATTCGCACGCATTGCAATGCAGGAGGCAGCCGAAATGGTTGCTTGGATCAAAGCCGAGCCTGACCCTGCTGGCTTCATAAGTAGTTGTGGCAGGTGGGTGAACCTCTCTATACCATTGCTTGTGTCTCACGCGTACTGACAAGTAAGTCGTGTTTTGGTCTCCCAAGACCGACATGAGATTTACCTCACCTTTGCCGAGTACGGCGCGAATTATGTCAAGTATTTAAACAACACACTGGGCCAGGAGGAATCGCCTGATTTTCTGACACTGCATGAGTTCGGGCCTTGGGATACTTGCAAAGCTGGGGATATGAAAGATCTAGGCCGGATTCTGCTCGCAATTGCTTTAAGGGCTGAGACGGAGCGATGTGAGTCGGCGCCTAAAAAATGAATTTATTGTGGCTGCGGGTGGAGTACTGAAGATATGTGCCCCTGGAATGTATATGTAATTCGGAAACGTATTACTACTTTATCTATTCCTTGAAAGAGCTGTATCGGCCTGAACAACGCAGTATAATATCAATATGCCTTCGAGTAAGCCTCTCGTCATTCTTCCTATGTATATCCTTGTATACTACTCTAGAGCAACATTATGGAGGTGCCAGGATGAAGCATAGACTCCCTCTTTCTTCTTTGTTTGATGAAACCCATTGTTTGGCCAATGAGGTCCTTTGTGTGAGAATCCAATATAGAAGATCTCGCTTGCTGAGTATATACTCAATTTTTCTAGTTGGATAGTTGGATTGTCGTACCAATAAACTACATCTCCTCCTCCTCCTCCTCCTCCTCCTCCTCCTTCTTCTTGTTGTTGTTGTTGTTGTTGTTGTTGATCCACATCTTATCAGCCCATTTTCTGCGTAATGTTTGAACCAGTAAAAACGTATAAATGAAAAGTAATAACTCGAGTGACTCCAATTCTCCGCGGTTATTTCTCCCTCGATCGAAATATGCCCTGCACATTGCGAAGTAACCAAACTAAACAGATCCATAATCAGCTGGAAACGTGGCTGGAAAGATCTATGGTATGTGTAAGTGGAACCATAATCAAATGGTTGTGCAGTTCCAGCTACTAGTAGGATGGAGTAATTGTGTACTTCAGTCATATCGCTAGATGCAAGGGGGCAGTGCTATTATGCATAAACAACAGTTAAGTTTGCAGATCCGGCGCAGCGCATCCGATGACACGTTAGTTTTGCATGACCAGGTCGAGAAAATACAAAAAGAAGATTTATCTATGGTCTAAATTAGTCTACTCGAATGCATGCTCTATCACATATTAGCTCTTATACCAACTTCATTAAACATCTTAAACCCCCAACACATCATTATGACTACCCATCACTAGTCACCGATCACTTTGAAGGCGCAACGTCCGCCTTCCACGCCAACCACGTGAACGCGATCACCATTTTCACCCCCGCAGCCATCCACAGGGCCGACTGCATTCCCCCACTACTCCGACTCAGCCATCCACCGACAATAGCTCCAATCAACAACATCACCACACCTCCGATACGACGGTTCCGCTTCGCGTTGGTCGTTGGCACGGCCGCCAGTTTCGGGTCTGATGCGACATCGAAATACACGCTGGTCAAAACCACCGTCGGGATCTCATTGTACCCCAGTGCCCGGCTGGAAGTGATGGAGCCGGCGGACTGGAACGCCAAGAGTGCAATCGGGATCAGTTCCAGGAAGAGAGGCCCACCGGTCAGAGAAGCATCGTCCGAGGTGTGCGGAATGAGGTCGCCTTCGATAAGGGCGACGGCAATAATGACCAGAAGGGACTGGAATACGAACGACAGAAAGAGCGTGCCGCGGTTGCGGGCTCCGGCGCGGCGGGTGATATTCGAGAGGATAAAGGCGCCGATGAAGAAGAATGCGATGGAACAGAGCGACTTCAACCAGCCCCAGGGCTTGCTAGTTGGTTGGCCTGAGGCTCCTAGCCCGAGGAAAATGGTGTTTCCTGTTCATGGTCAGTCAGTATCGGGAATTGTATATGGTTTTGGAGGGGGGTGGTGCTGTCGGAGCATACCGGTCTGCATCGCCAAGAAACAGGACCACGCATTGTAGGCGCTGCTATCGCAGAGCCCGGTGGTGAAACAGAGCAGAAGGCAGATGAGGTCGGTATACTTGACGTCCACGGGTTGGGTCCACCATGTTGAGAAAGAGGGTTTCGCTGGTGGTTGGTGGGCTTCGAGGTCGGGCAGGTCGCCCGAAGACGGATTTCCGCTCATTGATTACAATCGGGTCTGATGAGGATCGGATATGGATTCAGGGGCTCAGGTGGTTGAAAGAATCGTGTGCGCAGTGGAATGCTTGCAGTGAATGTACCAAGGAGGGTGAAATGGCAGATTTGAGAGCGCGGGCGCAAATTTTGCAGTTGGAGTCATTGGGGTCGGAGAGAGTCCGATGTCGCCATAGACTATAGACTAGGGATGATCGTTGTCGTTCGGAGCAAATTGACCCTCACTATTTCGGAAAGGTTGAAGTCTTCCGGTCACTGCAAATGGTTGGTGCCTAGTTTCCTGGGCCTGGTTCGCGATTGCGACATTGGCCCTAAGCAGAACCATTGGATTGTATTGCTTCTGCTACAGAAAGAATCTCCATTTTCACTTCACAAGTGGACCAGGTCCCCGCCCCGCACGGATAGGGCTGACGACGAAGCAATCACAGAGTCCCCAGGTACTTCGGAGTCGGGATGGGTCCAAAATTTCAAAATTTCATGAAATGCTTGACATTTTACCAGTCTTTCATAAAATTTAGAATCGGTCTTGAAACATATTTTTATGCTAGGAAATTAGGCGGTTTTCACCTGTTGTATACAAACCGCCAAATATATTTCTCCTCGGCTTTTGTGACAGACCTTTTTTTTTTTTTTTTTTTTTTTTTTTTTAAAAAAATTTTTTTTTATTTCTTGGAGCTGTGTAAGCTGAATTTCAAGCATGTGGAATGGCTGTCATGTAGGTTAGTAGACCCGCCCTTCGGCCTCACCTACGGAGTAGAGTGGCACTGGTTCCCTGCTCCGCCGATCCATCTCTACAGCTCTGCCTAGTTATCTATAAATCTTGACTTTACGCTCTAGCCTCTGCCCCTAGCTTGAACTGCTTAAACCGTATAAGCTATTTAATTATTTAAATAGTTCACATAGGTTATAGATAGTCAATCTATAAGTTTAACGAGAGTTAGAACTTAGAGGATTATATAAAATGCTACAGGCAGGTGTGTATCTAAGTAATAGCCTGAATCATTACTTCCTATCCAGCATCTGAAGGTCTCCTGTATGTTCCAATCTATGGTCCCTGTTTGGTTCATTGTTCCCATCATCGCGCTTAGTCTTCGTACTTTTCCAATCGTACAGCACGGCACCTAGACTCGATACCGTCGCGAGGACAAGCCCAACACGGAGAGCATCTTTGATCGTCATGCCATAGCCTGCCTGTAGTTCTGGAGATGCCTGAGCATAAGAGGAGTTAATCGATGTGCCGTCCAGAACAGAATGAGGGTCCAGGTTCAGGGCCATTGTTTTCAAAGCCTCGCTAATGTTGCGCAGGGAAACTGCCTGTGCAACTGACACAAAGAGGGCTCCACCAAAGGTCTGCGCGAACAATATGAGTCCAATCTCAGTTGCCACATCATTTTCAGGAAGCGTTGTCTGGACCATGTATAGCCCTTGTTCTTCGCCTAGGCCGATTCCAGCGCCGCATAGGATCTGATACCCAACCCATTTCGCTCGCGAGGTGTGATGAGGCCGAACCGTCATCAATAGGCCGGTACCTATCGACATAAACATTGACCCCGCGTAGACGAAAGGTGTATAATATCCCGTCGTAGCGGTCCCAAAGCCCGAGATCATGAATCCACCGACGACACTGAGCATGAATGGGATGAACAGGATAGCGGATTTGACGGCAGAGACGCCATCGACCATTTGAAACCAGAGCGCTCAAATTGACATTAGTATTTATCTTAATTATTTCACCTCGTTTAGACCCTACTCACGTATGTAGAAAACATTGACCTGATGCGGTGGAAGCATGTTGGTCAGCCAGATGGAAATGAAGTCTGGGTTGGAATTACGTACAAAGAATACGCCTCCCAGGCAGAGACTGTACCAGATTGCCGCACTTACGCTTCGCCTACGTAGTAAGCGTAAAGGAACGATGGCACGATCTTGTGTCCGGTATTCGATGAAGGCAAAGGAACAGAATACATACCAGCGACCGTGAGCAGGGCTATGATGCGGGGATTGTCCCATGCGTATGTAGTCCCGCCCCATGACAGTGCTAGAAGAAGACAGATCGTTGCTGATACAAGGGTGAAAGTACCAGCCAAGTCGAAGCGCGCGATCTGATTGCAAATTCTGGCCGACTCCAAGACCCTCTCGCCACCGCGCCTTCTATCATAGAACAAGGCGATGGAGATTATGATAACGCCTCCTATTGGAAGATTGATGTAAAAACACCAACGCCATGTGGTTGAGTCTGAAAAGGCTCCTCCCTGCACCAGTTGTCAATCAATGCAACTGACTTATAGATATGGAACATCAGAATACCAATAAAGGCCCCGCTACGCTCCCGACTGCAAACATGCTACCAACGATGCTGTTCCATGTCGGTCGCTGGTGTAGCGGCACACACTCAGCGAGGATGAGCGTAGTACCTGCTTGTATCCCAGCAGACCCCAGACCTGCTAATGCCCGTCCAAAAATGAAAACATTCGAATTCGGTGCAGTAGCACATACAGTGCTTCCGATCTCAAATATCAACAACGCTGCCAGGAAGACGGGTTTGTTGGAGAAGAGCGTATAGATCTTGCCAAAGGAAGGTTGGAATGCGCAGGAGGTCAAGGGGTAAATTCTATTGGAGGATCCGTTAATGTTCCGCCAGAATTTCACTTCCAAATCGACAAGTGATAGAAACGACTTACGCTGCATACCAACCCACGTCCTCAATGCTGTGGAAGTCATGGGTGATCCGAGGCACCGCGGTCGAAGTTATGGTGTTGTCTACAGCTACGCACAGAGTCGCCAAGCACAGTACGATTGACAGCAAGAGCAGACTCGAGAACTTGACATATTTATCCGTGTCTGGCGCTTCCCCATATATAGTCCACTCACTGACATCGGTAACTATGCCTTCGTTTTCTGTGGGAGGAGTCGGAGACATTCTGGTTGATAAGCTACACTGAACTCAGGGGGTGACCAAAAGTTCTTTGTTCAACTTGGAGTGGCTGGCATTTAGTTGCTGCGTCAATCTCCCCTGTGAAGAACCAACAACCACAACGTCAGATAATTGGCCAGGCTGATTCATTCCAAGCTCGCAAAATATTTGGCCTAAACCCCCTCAATAATACAGCCTAATACTCATATTACTGAGTTATAGTGGGACTGTGGGCTATCTATCGGATCTGCGACGGCCGGGCCACTGCCTCTCCCGTGGTGGTTTGAGCCCAAGTCCTTGATCATCTACACTCAGAATTCATGTAGCAGGAGCGAGATGATGTGAAGGATCAGATACGTTGATAACTCCACCTGGAAGCTTGTCACGAACGGCAGGGGCCACTAGATCGAAGCTGTGATAACCCTCAGTGTTCTTTCAAATGCTACGTAAGGAATTATACTGACACTCCAAGTGTTATCCCAACACCAATCTGGACTATTAGCTTTTGTTAGACTTTGTATATATACAGGAGCTTCTACACAAGGACCACTCTTCAATTCTACTATGGAACCCCCAAGAGCTGATCTAATTACTTGGTAATCCCAGTAAGTATCTAGAAACTTCGGCATCGCCCAATCTATAGTAGTAGCTTTGATAAAATCCAGGGTTTCAGTTATCTATAACAGTTTACTATCTTCTAAAAAATTGAACAGTCTACCAGTAAAAATTATTAATTATAATTTTCTAGATTAAGGAATAGATTGCCCTGGATCGGTACATAGATATTAATTACAATATTAAGTTCGAGTTAAGGATTGGCTTTAAGATACTTTCAAGTAAGAGTTTATCTCCTGGTACAGAAAGTAGACAATTCTGCAGAATAGCGACACGGAAGTCAGTGCAAGTTATAATACTAGGGAGAGCTGGACACTCTCGCATATTAGAAGATATTGATAGAGAGACAGCGATGAGGAGCGAATTTAAAGTAAAGAAAGGCCTCGAGGGGGCCGAGCGTGGCGGCTACGAGTAGGTACATACATTCCGGCCAGATATGTGGAGACTTCTAGACTACGAGCAGATATTACAGAAGTTCGCAAGGAACTGTGCCGAAGAGATAAGAAACACAAGGAAAAGATTAATCATTACAAGGACGCATTGGCCGGTATACAGAGGGAGCTGGAGGGAAGTAAACAGTCCACTAGTTAAATTTGTATACTGGATCAAATATAGACCAACAAGGTCTCTACCCAGGTACTAAACAGTACAATTGGTTATCCTCTACTATTGGCGGTACATTTTCCCGCTTCAGTGTCACGTCACGTTTTCAACTGCCTCAATTGACGCTGACTACGAGTACCCGTGACTTGTACGCAGCTACTACAAATAGGGTCTTCCCGCTATTCTTGCATCATCCCGATGTTCTGGCCCACGGTTTCACCACCATGACTGATTAGCCAATGAGTACAACACCCGGGCAGCTGCTTTCGACAGTAACAAGCTTCCATCCCGGCTACGTGATGCCATATATGGTCTTTATCCCGATCATCACCGGAGCTACCTGGATCGGCGCGGAGAACCTTCCCATGCGTATGGACGGTCCAGACTGAGCCGTCCGTCGTTCTGACTGGATACCACTCGGGGAGCAAACTTCCTTTTGCGGACTCTCGAGCCATAAGTGGCTCGCATTATAGTCAATGACCTTGTGCACACAAAGCATGTCCAGGAAGTGGTGATGAAAGCTGTCGTCATCACCAACCCATTCCCGCCACCGAGGATGGTATTAATAAACCCCGCGCAAGTCGAGCGCCTTCTTCTGTTTTATCACGAATATTGTATTGCCAAACTGATCTACACTATCAATTTCAGTCTACACAGATTCTCACTAGTACGTGGGTGCCCAGACTTGAATCGAGGAAAGTATCAGGTAGTGACTTAGCAGGTCATCACTATGCCGATCTTCTCGAAAGCTCAGGAAACGTTACGCCAGGGCCAGGAGACCGTACAACAAGCAATGAGCTCCGCGACCGGCTCCAATAAGCCGGACTTCTCTAAATGGAATACGGAAGAGATGCTGGAGACCACTGTTGACAAACACGGCAACCCTGTACCGAACCTCTCGTACACTGATGGCGCCAAGTTGTCGAAAGGAATCCTCGGTCAAGACGAGGCGGATGCGTACGAAGCGGCGAATAAAGACTTCCATGACTACCACTAGGTCACTCTTTGTATCATAGCATGCCGCTGTCCGACCCGGCGCCCTTCTGTCTTTTCCTTGATGGATCCCGTTGGATGAGGAGAAAAGGTCAAAAATGTTATAATGAAATGTACGTATGTATGCATGAATGAACCAAATATAGTTATTCGCCGTGTCGGGGGCATTCGTTATCCGACCGGCAACAGTTCAGGGTTGAATGGAGGAAACATGTGTAACTGTAGATGAGCCACATTATTAACTCGTATGAGTATGACATGCATTGGGTCCACGACGAGACTTCCTTGGCAAGGTCGTCATCTTGGAGATTGCTATGGTAACCGCTCCGCCCGCGGGGCGGCTTCTCCCTGCCTGAGGCCTATACCATTCCGGAAACGGCAAAACCCAAACGAGCGTCACTGGCCGACCGCCATGTGAAGCCCGAGTCTATCTTCAGGTTCGATTGCAAACGCTTGCGTTTGTTATTAGACCTCCTTTTGCTTCAGTTGTTGTTTTGGAGATACCAGGGCCTCTTTGTTCGCCCCCCTTGCGCTCATTACTGCATGTTTCTCTCTTTCAGTTTCCATCGCAGGGACCCCTCTCCAGTGAACTAACTCTCGGCTGTTTACCCCCTGATCGAAAGGAGTGTCAATGTGCCTGTCAACCTTGAGTGGATACTGATCCCTTTATATTCAAGTCTCTTATTTCGCAAGAAGGGAAGGCACCACTTGCTCCCTGCGCCGGGTCACAGCGTCTTGTCTCTATCCCTTTTTGAACACCATTTCGGATCGCATTCCCTCCGGCAGTGGTGCACTTGTCTGTATGTACCATCAATTAGTTAATCGCCAACGTGAGCTCAGCATTCAGTTTGTACAGTTATTGAAGGAACATAGTTTGGATATGTCCTTGGACCCTCGGTTTTACCACCACATCGGTCATGGCTATGGGCCTGGATCACAATCATCCGCCTCGTCTTCCGACATCTCCGCCCTAACGAGCATCACCAGCCCATCAATCCGATCGACGACTGCTTCCGCGGCCGCACTACGGTCGAACGCTTCCAGCCCTTCTTTGCGCGCAAGGGAAGGCGGGACCATGCTCGGCACCTATCGAGATGGCGTCACGAGCCCGTCTCCTGGTGGTAATGTCCGTGTCGTGGTTCGGGTCAGGAAGTTCCTGCCCAGAGGTATGTAGGGCGTGTGCACGCCGGTAGGCGTACAAGGATAACAGTTGACTAAAATTGGATATTCTAGAACTTGAGCGCAATGCGGAGTGCTTGATTACCATGGACCCCCGGACGCAGACGACCAAACTACGGGCGCCCAAACTTGACGCGGAAGACGAAGGGAAGCCGAAGTCGCAAGCACGGGGGAAGGTACTGGAGGATAAATCATTCATCTTCGACAACTCGTTCTGGTCTCACGATACCGATGACGATCATTATGCGCACCAAGAGGATGTGTACAACTGCCTGGGAGAAGAATTTCTCGATCACAACTTCGAAGGATACCACACCTGTATATTCGCCTATGGTCAGACAGGTTCCGGCAAGAGTTACACGATGATGGGCACTCCGGACCAGCCGGGCTTAATTCCACGGACCTGCGAGGATCTGTTTCAGCGCATCGAGGGCGTTCAGTCGCCCGATATCAGCTTCAACGTCCGCGTATCCTATTTCGAGGTTTACAACGAACATGTGCGCGACTTGCTGGTGCCTCGGACCGATCCGCCCCATTATCTTCGGATCCGCGAGTCACCCTCTGAAGGTCCCTACGTGAAAGACTTGACTGAGGCAACGGTTAAAAACTTCGCTGAACTTATGAAATACATGCGCAAAGGTGATGTTTCCCGCACGGTAGCGAGCACCAAGATGAACGATACCTCGTCCCGCTCCCATGCCGTCTTCACAATCACCCTGAAACAGATCCACCATGACCTCTCAACCGACGAGACGACGGAACGCACCGCACGAATCCGTCTGGTTGACCTGGCAGGATCGGAACGAGCGAAGTCTACGGAGGCGACCGGGCAACGACTACGCGAAGGATCGAACATCAACAAATCGCTCACGACATTGGGTCGAGTTATTGCCGCCTTGGCAGATCCAAAGGCAGGCCGGTCCGGCAAGCGGAAGGGCAAGGACGTTGTTCCCTATCGCGACTCCATCCTCACCTGGTTACTCAAAGACAGTTTAGGGGGCAACTCGAAGACCGCCATGATTGCCTGTATTTCCCCGTCAGACTACGAAGAGACACTATCTACCCTCCGCTATGCAGACCAAGCGAAACGTATCCGTACTCGTGCTCGGGTTAATCAAGACCATTTATCTGCTGCTGAGCGCGACAAACAGATTGCAGAAATGGCGGAGACGATCCGGACGCTGCAACTCAGTGTCAGTTTAGCGACGGCCAACCGTCGAGAAAGTGAGAATCAGAATGAGAAACTGGAGGAGTATCAGCAAAAGGTGGAGAAGTTGCAGCGATTAATGGAGGAGACGAAGATGGTCAGTGAATGCAAGATCAAGCAGCTGCAGACAGAAAATGAGGCACTTCGCAATCACCTCAAGTTGGCTCTCGATAGTTTGAGAAATCCGATCCCACCTGTGACCGTTGAGAAACGTCGAGGGGGTCTTTCGCCTGTGACTGAATACAATAAGGAAAACCGCCCCGGATCACCAATTTCAGATGTGGAACCCGAGCCAGACCTGATCTGGGAAGATGAGGACACGATCCGGATTAAGGGTCGCGAACTTGAGGCTCATGACATGCAGGCTGATATGGAGGATCTGCTCATGGATATCAACCTGTTCAAGCGTAAGTTGGCCTCCGATCATGAGCGATTCCGAGCGTGCCAGAAACAGGGAGATCAGAAACGACGACGAGCGCTAGGAGAAGTTTGGACGAATAATCGATGACGACGGACGGCTCGGCCTGCAGGGTGGCTTTCTGATTGACGGGCGCTGCGGAATTTTGGGTGTTTGGGTTACTACTGGGTTCTGGTGGCAGAGTGCTTTTCGTACATGCTTTTTGTTCATGATATCTGGATCTTCTTTTCGTGTTGGGCGGATATTTTGGGATTTTCTTTCGTTGTCTATTCTTTATGGTTTCTATTTTCTTCCTGGTATGCTTCCTTTAATTCCGCGATGAATGACGAGTTCTAGGGTGTGACGCATGATTGAATGATTGACTTGATATGGAGAATATGTCCGATATTGGTTATGATTCAATAGAATCCGTATGGAATATGAAACTACCTATGGATGTATGTAAAGAGTGCCAACAGATACTAGTCTAGTTATAGTACAGGAAAGGCTAAATCACTACACAGTGTGGACGAGACTAGGGCTGCATTAGTGCTAGTGCCGGCTTATGGCATCATGCCGAATTGGGTGAGTCAAAGTCACATTTCCTTTGAAAGTCCCAATCTCATTTAATCCCCACAACCCTCTATCGAAAAAAAAGTCGCCAATGCCCCTCCGCTCCGTCGTCATCGTCATTTAGCCCGCTTTTTCCCACCATGGCGAACCCCGTCGACCCTGCGCAGACTTCTCCTCCCTCCACTTCACCAAGCCCTGCGCCCGCGACGCAACAATCCACCCCCGACATGTCCTCCCAGCAAACCCCCTCCCAACCCGCGCAGCCGTCCAACGGCGCATCCAAACCCGCCAAGCCACCTAAACAGCCTAAGTCCAAAGATGCCCCTCCCGCCACGGGCGGAGCTCCAGGGGAGGAAAAGCTCAGCCCAGCTGAACTGAAGAAAAAAGCGAAGGCCGAAAAGGCCGCCCGCAGAGCTAAAGAAAGGGCTGAAAGAGAAGCTAGCGGAGGTGGTGGTGCAGGGGCCGGACCAGGGCCTAACGCCGCGCCGGCCAAGAAGGGCTCAACTGGAGGCGGCGCTGGAGGAAAGGAGGCACCAGGACAGCCATACAAGAGTCAGAGACATCGACGCGGATCGGCTACACAGGCCAGCGCGACGGAACAGAAAAAGAAGCAGGAGGATAAGAACGTCGCTGTCTTCGGTCATTTGTATGGACAGCCGAGGAGGACTACCATCGCCGGTGCCGGAAAGGAAGTACACCCCGCCGTGTTGGCGCTGGGTCTGCAGATGAGGGATTATGTCGTTTGCGGGAGCAGTGCTCGCTGTGTGGCGACCTTGCTTGCTTTCAAGAGGGTGTGTATTGGGGTCTTGTTGTTTTTGATTTTGGTGGTGTGCTGTTTTGTGCTGATCGTGGTGGTTATTTTAGGTCATCGAGGCTTATACGACTCCCCTGGGCACCTCCCTTTCCCGTCACTTGACTACCCACCTCTCCCATCAGATTACCTATCTCTCTACATGCCGTCCTCTCTCTATCAGTCAGGGTAACGCTATCCGTGCGCTTAAACTGGCAATCTCCTCCATTGATCCTTCCGTCCCCGAGGCCAGCGCTAAGGCCACGCTGAGCGATTTTATCGACAACTTCATCCGTGAAAAGATTACCGTGGCCGACCAGGTCATTGCGACCAGCGCCGCAGAGAAGATCCAAGATGGCGATGTGATCGTCACCTTCGCCGGCAGTTCGATCGTGAAGCAGACACTTCTCACCGCACACAAACAGGGCAAGAAGTTCCGCGTGTCCATCATCGACTCCCGTCCGTTGTTTGAAGGCAAGAACCTGGCCCGCACGCTGGCCAATGCGGGTCTAGAAGTTCAGTATTCTCTTGTCAACGGTATCAGTCACGCTATCAAGGATGCTACAAAGGTGTTCCTCGGCGCACACGCCATGACCAGTAACGGACGACTCTACTCGCGGGTCGGTACAGCGCTGGTCGCCATGTCGGCCAAGGAGCGCGCCGGCGGCGTGGAGGTACCTGTCATTGTGTGCTGTGAGACCGTCAAGTTCACGGACCGTGTCGCCCTCGACAGCATTGTCGTCAACGAAATTGCCGACGCAGACGAGCTCGTCCCCAGCCAGCCCTTGAAGCAAGTGACGGGTCCGTCGGGCCCCGCTGACGAGGCCGATACGAAGAAAGGCGATGCGAAGAAGGGTGGCAATAAGGCTGCCGCCAATGCTCCCCCCGCAGAGTCGACACCCCTGCCCGAGGGCTCGTCTCCTCTTGCAAACTGGAAGGAAACGCCTAATCTACAGCTCTTGAACATCATGTACGACGTGACCCCAGCCGAGTACGTCGACATGGTAGTCACAGAGATGGGCAGTTTGCCGCCAAGCGCGGTTCCGGTCGTGCATCGGATGAGTACGAACATGTGAATGATGGGTCCTGTTGTTCTTTGTTCCCTTTGATTCTCGTGAAATGAAAAATGTAGCTCAGGTTATCGGGATATCCATCGGTTTTTAATAGATTCGGGCTTCGCCAGAGGGTATGATTCAATATGTATGGCATGTGTACACGACTCCCAGCCACTATACTACTGTCACTATGTCTCCAGACCGTAAAATAGTAAAATCCATGCCACTTGTGATAAGACAACAGTCACATGGAGATAAACCAAAGCGGTAGAATACTGCCGTCAATTCCAGATGTTTACATCCATCATCTACTTACATCCACCTCATCGACAGTACATACTATCCCAAAGCAAGCTTCTCAATTATCAACCCCCTCACTCATCCAAGCACCCATAAACCCCAATCGCAAAATCAACATCAAACCCTTCAAAATGGTAACTACCCCTGCAATCCAATCTCCACCTACCCCTCCCACCCATTAAGGCCATACTAACAACAAGGAAAAAAGAGCAAAGACTCAACCCCAACCCACCTACACATGCACCACCCCCGTCTAGCCGACTACTTCGAAGACTTCACGCGCCCCCACACCTCCGCCACCCCGAGCACCAGCACAACATCCCACCTCTACAACAACCACACCGTAACCTACGGCTCCTCGTCCCCGACGCTTGTCCCCTCCTTCCTGCCCATCGAGGACATCTACGTCGCGCCGCAGTATCAGCCCCCGAACCCCGAAGACGAGGATGATGTCGTCCCCGACCAGCATGCTGCGTTTGGGATCAGTCGGGCTATGGAGCGTCGGCGGGAGGCCGTGTGGAGGGATTTGGGACTCGAGCGCTTGGTGAATTCGGGGGGTGCTGGGAAAACGGGCGGAGTTAGGGTTAATGAGGGGGGGAGACGCATGGGCGGGAAGAGGGTGGTTTGTTTGCGGTGATCTTTCTCTTTTTTTTTTTTTTTTTTTTTTTTTTTCTTTTCTTTGCTTTTTTGAGGGGTTTGGTGGATGGATGGGTTCGGTTGATACCCCCTTTTTGTTTCTTTTTTTTCTTTTTTTCTTATTCTTTGTGAGATGTACGGCTTGTGCGATGTAATGTTTCATTATCATTATTACGCCGGGCGCCCCGCGTTATACATGCTATGGTATATCTATTGAGTCCAAGGTACTGTACTTCAGATGCGGATGACGTCCACCCGGGTCCGTTCGTAGAGTTTGTGGCTGATGTGTTTTTGTTCGCGTTCTTCTTCGGTGATTTGTCGTGGGTGGATCGCCATTTGAGCGTACGTTCCTGCTGCGCGGCGTTTGGAGAGCGTGCCTGGGTTGATTACTAGGACGCTGTCTACTACCTGTTGTATATTGTCAGCATGTGTTGGAGAGATCGATTGGGGATGGGGTACGCACTTTGACGAACGGGGGCAGCATGCTGGGGACGATGAGCACATCTGGCCGCACGTTCCACCACTCGCCTAGCTTCATGTAGCTGACGTCTAGGGTGGCGCCCGTGGCTAGTCCGTTCTCGATCCCGGGCTTGGGGAGGGCGTCTCGCGATGACGGCGGGAAGACCGGGTAGAAGTGTCTTTGTTCGACGAGGTACTTGGACAACCGGGTGAGCAGGTTGCCTTCTTTAGGCTTGCCGTGCAGAGCCTCCTCTCTCCGCAACTCGTAGAGGACGTCGTGCGAGCACAGGCCAATGACGGTTTCGTTGAGAGACAGGGTGACCGGGTTGGAAACCATGCGCACTTGCTTGGGCAAGCCGAGCTCCTTTTTCGGGAGCTGCTCCTGCGGCCAGGAGACGTGCTTACTCACAGCGTCGCGGACGGAGGGAACCATCACGATCGTGATGCTGGGTACTGCCGCGACTAATCTCTGTAAGGGTGTCGTGATGCAGTGCCGGAATACGGTTGTGAGGGTGGCTGTGTCTGGGTCGTATCCGTTGGATTCTGGGAGGTCGAAGTCTCCCGACGCTAGGAGTGGATGTTCGATATCTAAGAATGGACCCATGAGGACAAGTCCGTCTGCGTAGCTCTCGGCCGCTTTCTGGCATATCTCATTGAGCGGCTCGAAGTCTAAGTTGTCGTCGGCTGTGTACGGCCCTGAGGAGATCATGATGTTCAATGGAGAAGAGCCAGCCTCCTCCAATTTTTCGTTGATGGCTTCCATACTGGGTACAGACGATGCAGCGGGTGGTAAGAGAGGGGTGGATAGGACTTCCTTGACCGAGAAGTAGTTTCCGGACGCATTGATGCCCCGTAGAGCAACTATCTGTCCTGGGAAGAAGTTCACCGACGGTAGAGTGTCCACTTTCAAAGGCACACGCACTCCAGCTCCTGTCCGCCTCGAGGTCTCGAGTACAAGAGAAGCTGGGTTAAGCTTTCCTTCCATGCTATCTGACGCGATGCGTCCGACCGCAACAATCTCGCTGGTGCTCTGGGTCGCTGCACTGCCGAAGGGGAGGTCCTCTGTTTCGTATTCCTTCTGGAACAACGACATGAACTCGTCAATGCGGTCATCGAGAATCTCGGACGCTTCAGACAGTCGCATTGCCATTGGCTTGTATCCGAACTTCTTCAAATCTGTGTTCGCAGTGGGTCGTATCCGAGCCTCTGAAAAGGGAGCCATAGGGGTCTCTGGCATCGACAGGTGCGCGTTGAGGGTTTCAAGCGTCTGGCCGGGATTCTGGCGCCCCGAGAAAGGAACAGGCCTGTGTCCGCAGTCAATCATATTGTTCCAGAAAGGTAGAATAGTCTTCTCCAAGCATACTGCGCTCCATCTCCTGTTGCAACATCATTCATGCGCTTTCCCAGGGCCTTAGAACCGATTGGCGAATCGACCTTTCCAACTTTAGATGCGGAGGGAGAAGCAAAGTCCGCTTTCCGCTTGCCTGAGTTCGGCGTTCGACCGTGAGACGCAGTTGGCGTTAATCCGTCTAGTCTATGGTTTTCATGTCAATAATCTCCCCTCTAAATATGGCATAGTTCTGCGACATACATCCCAAAAACATCAGTCGCTGCTGCAGCGCGCGGGGTAGCGGTGGGTAATTGTCGGCCGGGTTTGCTTCGAGTCTCTCGCTCCAGCGATTCCTGAACGTCGCGTTTAAACAGCCTCACAGTCTCTAAATCTAATTTGGTCTCCTCGGAGCCCATCTTCAAGCAGAACGACTCCCATTTGTAAAATAACTCCTGTGGGGCAATTGAGTGGACTCGCAGCAGGGACTGAAGCTCTGCAAGGACATCTTTAGGAAGTCCATCGGGAGAGGAAGCTGCGAAAAGCTCATTGAGCTCTCCAACGATGTCCTCCATGGCGACACCGAGTCAGTTCCAACGGCGTTGCGTTCAATTGTAGGACCAGAGTGAAATCACCTCGATGCAGTAATCCGATATTGGAGAACGCGCGGAGAACGCGCGCCGCGTGCTGGGCACGGGGACGGGAAATCAATTAGAGGAATGACCGCCTTCCCGATACAGCAATGGCTTCAGGGACATGTCCACGTAAGTACTCCGGCTATTATGTCGAACGATCATCCTGTGGGCCTGTCGATCAACACTGAGCCTACTCAGCGCTGAAACCTGCGCGGAAAAGAACAAATCTTCCAGGGGAGCTGCCATTGTCGCTAGTCTATATTATGCGAGCCATTGCCCCCTGAATTACAGACCTAGGATACATCCCATAGACTTGAACTGAACTGAATCGCATACTATTCCTTGCAACCATGAGTGCAACCTCTGAACCCACTGCCCCAGCTATGTCAGCCCACAGCGGTGAAGCGGTCGACTCACAGACAAGCGCACCTTCCGCAACGGCTGAAAGTTCCAGTAGCACTGTCGAACAGGCTCAGCCTGCAACCAATGGCAAGGATATTGAATCAGAGCTCCCATCCTCCGCCGCCGATGGGCTCATTCAGAAGCCCTTCCCCCACCCTCTCGACTCGGCCAAGCCTACTCCGCCTGCTGAGCTTACCGCCGACCAACACGAAAAATACAATTCTGTTCTCAGGGCCGTTTCCGCTTGGACAACAGTGCCGACGACGTCTGCGAAGAACGCCCCCACGGAACCCATCACTGACAATGAGCGCATGTTCTTGACCCGGGAATGCCTGCTTCGATACTTGCGGGCGACGAAATGGAACGTGTCCGAAGCCATAGCACGGTTGGAACGTACTCTGACGTGGCGTCGTGAATACGGCGTGGAAAAGCTGACCGCGGATTTCATCTCAGTTGAGAATGAGACGGGAAAGCAGGTTCTCCTTGGATATGACATCCACGCGCGTCCTTGTCTCTACCTTCTGCCGTCGAATCAGAACACGGAAAAGAGCGACCGTCAGATTCAACATTTAGTTTTTATGTTGGAACGGGTGATTGATCTGATGCCGCCAGATCAGGAGACTTTGGCGCTGATTGTCAACTACAATGAAACGAAGTCAGGTCAGAATGCAAGCGTCGGTCAGGCCAAACAGACGCTCAACTTTCTCCAAAACCACTACCCGGAGAGAATGGGTCGAGCGTTGGTCATCAACAGTAAGTGACGCTCGTGTCTTCGTCTTTTTCTTCTACTGATTTCATGTGTGCGTTAGTGCCCTTCATGATTATGGGATTCTTCAAGTTGATCACCCCGTTCATCGATCCTTTGACCCGGCAGAAGCTCAAATTCAATGAGGATCTGTGTCAACATGTCCCTGCCGCCCATCTGATGAAATCCATGGGAGGTGATGTCGAGTTCAGATACGACCATGCGGCCTACTGGCCAACCCTGAACCAGCTTGCTGACCACAGGAGGGCTGCGTACCGCGAGCGGTGGGTCCAAGGTGGAAAGAGAATTGGCGAATACGAGAACTATTTGAAGACAGGAAGCACTCCCAGCCTAGCGCAGAGAGAGGCCTCGAATGGCGCTCCAGCGGAGTAACCACCTGCGTATCGATAATACAACACTCGGAACCACTCTCAACATCATGTCATTCTGTCCTCTGACCTGGGCTTCAATGGCGTGAGTAATGTTTACAGCCCCTGCATCTTTTACATAATGTTCCTTAGCATATTGTTGAGTTCATCTTCTACATATACATCTAGACCGCATATGTTACACCATGTTTGCTTTGTTATGTTCCTCCAACATCCACGAACTGGGGGAACGGACTTTCGGATCGATATGTCTTGTTTTGTTTTCATACAATGGTCCTTAACGCTAAGCGCATTTGAGCATTTCCTTTCATTTCGGTCAAACAGCTTACGCGATCAATCCATTGGGAGGACTATTACTTTTGTCAAGAAGCAAAAGCGTATCTTGTATATAGACATATTACTTCACTGAGGATGCCCAATGACTTCATATTAATAGATCATTCTGGCGAGACATGCATTCCCATACCGTTGAACCCCAGATCGATGTCACGTGTGCGATGGCGGGGTATCTCTTGCTGACCTCCATGTGTGCAGTGATATCAGACGCTTGGTGGGGGATCAATAGATTCTGTCATAAGATTAAAAAAGTCTCAACTGCCATGCTTGTCTATCCGAGACTCTCACTATCTTTTCCCCTCTCGTTTCAGCGACCCGTTTTGACCGTTATACGACTTCCCAGAAACGGAGCTGTCGATCTACAAACTTAAAGGACGAAAAGCTAGCTAGATCGTTTGATAGGGTACTACTATATTTTACTTATATGTATTTGTTTGTTGATTTTCTCCATTAACAATCGATAATTATCCCCATCTATATTACCATTATTATGATCTCCTGTATTGTTTGTCGTACTTAACTCTCACTGGTGTTCCCAGCTCCCCTCCCCACCAGTTTACTCTTACCACGTTGTTTGTTCTTTGTTTCCTGGTACATTACATGCCTTGAAGAGAAGTCAGAGACATTGTACCCCACAGGTAATCCGTCCAGCGTGGCCCCTCCCAGCTACATGCAGGTTCCCAGCCATACGTTGATCCCGGCGTCCTCTCACCGTTGACCGTGTTGCCGATGGCGGACAAGAACCCCACGGGCAGAATCAGACTGCCGCCCAGGCCCGCCACGACGACCAACGACACTACGGATGCTGCTCCTCCTCCCGCTTCCCCCATTACTACGACGACTTCAATTCCCACTCCCATCAGCACCACCAACAATCCCACCTCCGTTCCTAGTCGTCACCCTGTGTCTGGTCCCGAGAGAGGTTTCGTGCAGCCCTCCTCATACCTCCGCCCGCGCGGTCTTTCGCATCCAATGCCCCCAGCTCAGCCCGAAAGGGCGATCGATCGGGAGGAGCGACAGGGCCTAGTGAGTTTCAATTTTTCATAGAGTTTTTTTTTTGTAGTCGGGTCTATTTGTATTCGCCCTAATCATTTCATTGTTGGCTTGTTTTGCCCTATTTCTCTCTTTCCCTCTGGTTGGTATTGGTCCAGTCTCGGGCTTGTAGCCTCAGGCCATCTCGCTACTATCTCCGGCCACGAGCTGCAATTCTCTATGATTCATTCGCCTATGCTCTTCTTTCCAACCGTTGTCAATATGTCTAGTTGAGTACTTTGGCTAATAACTCTACCTATCGATCATATCTGTGTGTAGTGTGCCATTCGCAACTTCCTCAAAGTCCGTAACAGTTACGATGTCCTTCCGCTCAGCTTTCGGCTTATCATCTTCGACACCTCTTTGTCAGTGAAAGAGAGTTTGAATATCTTGATCCAAAATGGCATGTACTTCCCTTGTTTAGTGAATAGCGCGGTGCGCCATGTCCCCTGCCTGCGCTTCTTCCGCACAAGGGTGCGACGTCGCATACGGGCTATTCGATGTTCGGGAGGAAGATGTACTGACGAGGTCTCGCATTGTTTGAGCAACAGGTATCGTGTCAGCTCCATTATGGGACTCTAAAACCTCGACTTTCGCGGGCCTTCTAACCACCTCCGATTACATCAATGTCATTCAATATTATTTCCAGAACCCCGCGGCTCTGGGTGAGATCGATCAATTCCGACTGGACAGCCTCCGAGGTGCGTCACTCGCCCCATCCCGCAATTTAATATACTCCTGGGCCGGAACTGATAATAGGTTACAAATCTAGAGGTAGAAAAGGCCTTAGGGGTTGCTCCGCCGGAGACCATTTCCATTGATCCGGAGAGGCCTCTCTATGAAGCCTGTCGGCGCATGCTTGACTCTCGGGCTCGACGAATCCCGTTGGTTACAAACGATAGTCAAACGGACCGACACCATGTCCTGAGTGTCGTTACACAGTACCGTATCTTGAAGTTCGTCGCCGTCAATGTCAGTGACACACAGAAGCTGCGCAGACCCCTAGGAGAGATATTGCTAGGTAGCTATGACAATGTAGCAACAGCATCGATGGATACGCCTGTTATCGATGTAATCCATATCCTTGTGGAGCGGAGCATATCGAGTGTACCCATTGTGAATTCGGAAGGTATGGTTTTTCCCCGTGGAAACCCCTGTCCAATGGCTAAAAGTACCACTTAATTCCAGGTGTTGTGTACAACGTCTTCGAATCAGTTGATGTTATAACATTGATCAAAGGCGGCGTGTACGATGACTTAAGTCTAACGGTTGGAGAGGCGTTGAAAAAACGTTCCCCAGTATGTTCGACTGTTGAAGCTTTCCTCCTATTTATGGGCTGACATAGGACCTGCCTAGGACTTCCCTGGTATCTACACATGCTCGTTGAATGATGGTCTGGATACTATCTTTGACACAATTCGCAAGTCTCGTGTTCACCGCCTGGTCGTGGTGGACGAAAACTTCCGACTAAAGGGCGTTCTCACATTAAGTGATATTCTGCAATACATTCTTCTAGAAGGCGAAAACGACGAATCGTCCTAATACAATCCAGACATCGCGCTCACGGTGCCTGGTGCACAATTAAAACTTGCATGGGAATGGCGTTTGATTCTGTTTTTTAAGGCTAGTGACATGGTCTACTGTGAAGGATTCGACGGAAACATGGTTACGTTCAAATCGCCCGTCTCGTGGGGCATGGATCCCTCTCGACTTGCAGTGCACGAGAAAACAAGGTATTGTATGATGGTTTAGATTTCTATTGGGTTGGCCCTCGCTTGTCGGGTTTACGTTCTGCCCACGAATTCAGCATTGGCGTTTGGATTGACCATAATAGATTTTTCTTTCATGTATGGCTATTGTTGTGAAGATACCTGTCTCTGTCTCTCAACCTATCCTCCGTTATCTTTGTGGGAGTGTGTATTGTATTTCTATAGTTCTGATGGCATTGTATGGTGCAGCTGTAGCCGTCGACTCTCATACAGTAAGAGAGCCGATGCGTTTAATTTTTGGAATGGGATGCCTCTCACCGGCTGATATGTTGAACAGGGCCGTTGTGCGCATTTGGCATACTCAAGAACAGAAAGAGCGACCCATACATTCGCCGGAGGAAGTTGCTGCTATGGTCTTTTACCATATTTCAATCTTCAGTGTCTTCGGACTGGTCCTTCTTTCATTTTATCAACCGGAGTAATCTACGATTTCGCGTATTACCCATTGCGTCTCGCTTTTGGTATTCTGGGGCAATAATGGGACTCCTCAGCCTCTTTTCCAGATCATCCGCAAGCGAAAGCAGTGCACGTACATGGACTCTTGCAGGCCATGCGAAGTTACGTGATGCTCAGCACCGTCAGTATCCAGGGTTGCCAAGTGATATCAATCATGATCTGTCCATTGGAAAGGGATCCTATTCCGCATACGACGAGCAGTCCAGAGAAAGCCACCCTAATCCCCTACGACAAGACAACCCACAGGCGCAGCATGCGCCAACGCCTGTGCTGGAAGACATCTTCCCTCAAGCAGACACCAATGACACCAAAGTTGCTTCCTTGGACTCACCTGCCGATTCTCTGCATTTGGTCAAAGGCTCTGGACGCTTTGTGACCTTCCTACGTTCCCGCAAGTCTCGACGCCAAAAGTCTCCGTTGAGTGCTCCCAAACTGCACAATGGTCGCGTTGCTGGGGGTTCGAAATGCTGCAACCATAAGTGTACCGTAAATGATAATACTGGAGATCATCGAAGCGCAAATGGGCGGAGGCTACTTCAGAGCCAGAATAGCCTAATGGGGCCTTACGAGGCCAGAAAGGCTAGCGACAGGACCACACTCTCTCACAAGTCTGATCTTACAAGCATGACTGTATCTCACCATCCGTCAAAACACACCTTAGCGCCTATTGCTCTCTGCCACAGGGAAAATGTGCGTCAGAACCCGGTCGATGAGCTTGGGGAGCCCTGTCGTCGAGTATCAAGTTATTACCCCTTCTTAGAGCCATCGGTGACTACTACCAGCTCCGCAACACAAGCTAGCTCATATTGTGGTGACATGAATCCCGAGATCGCTCAAATGGCTGGAATATTTGCAAAATGTGGAAATCCCTTCGATCAAGAATCTTTTCGCGACCATGAAAACCTATCACTCGTCAGTTCGTCCCGCACCGTGTCAAGAGATAGCACTTGGTCGCTTCACATCGATCGACACACAGCCGCTATCGCCTTCAATGAGCTTGCCGCTCGATTACATCTAGATCCACTGGACTTGGACCAATGTTACCCTGATAAAGTCCCAGGTATATTTACCCTTGAAGTGCCCACTTGGTGTGATAAACCTCTTCTCATGGAGTAACAGTCAATAATCCCATGATTAGAGACAGCGAGTGCCCACGACGCCGCGATAGGGTGCTTGGTCGGATTCGAGTAATGCGATCAACCCTTCATATGAAAGCTCAGCCCGCCGTGACCCATTCACGAACGCTGCGTCGGATGAGAACATTTGCCAATTTCTCTTCTCGATCCTGCGATTTGTCTGCACTGAAAGGCAGGTCTTTGGAGAGTCTAGCTCGGCTAGGGGGGCATAGCTTTCTCAACCTTCCAGTGGAGTTTGCACCGGCCACCCTCAGGCTACCGACATGTTTCGTCGCGACTATTTCCTATTTGAAATGCTTTGGTAGGCATCTCCTATCCGTATACTACAGATCGCGGTTTTGGGTCTACTTACTAAAGCAGTGACCAGCATTGTCCACACCAGAAGTGTTCTGTAACGAGGGCGACTTGAAGATGGCCGCCCGAATTTACGATTACTTTGCGAAACAGGTGCTGTCCGCTGAAAATGTGCGTGATAGGATTGAGACAACGGTCCGGCGTGGCGAACTACCCATCGATTTGATCGGAATGTTCGACCACGGTGCTTCCCGTAAATTCTCTTCGCAGGTTCTCAGTGTTGGCTGGGTATTCAAGGCTCTACTCGCCGGACTGCCGGGCGGAATCCTGGGGTCGGCGCGCTTGTACCGTGTCCTCGTTAACATTTGCTACGGGCGTATCGCGGAGCGCAATGAGAGCAATGGCGACGGTGGCGGTGGCCTCTCTCCCCCAGGTCACACGAAGCTGCAAGCGATCGGTCTTGCTGTCCTGGCGCTCACCACGCCCATGCAGTTGAATCTCATCTGCGCCTTTTTCGGGCTCTGTGCGATGCTACAGTACGAGACGGAGCGGGCGGGTGTAGTCGATGAACTTGGGGGCGACGCTGGCCGAAGTGGCCTCACCTTCGGGCTGTCGAGTGTGGAGCGCCTCGGCCATGTTCTTGGGCCACTGTTGACCCCAGACGGGGGAGACGGGGGAGACGGCGGGCAGGACACATTCCGGGCCATCGAGCGGGAGATTGAAAATCAGCGGGTGATGACGATGTTGATCAGCAGTTGGGGCAGCATCAATCAACAGTTGCGAGTCTGGCAGAATCAAGGATCGGTTGCGCGGCTGGGGTCTTTCTTCAGGTTATTCAGTTGGGAGCAACCGTTGGCCGACAGCGAATGTCACGTTGGCGGGTGACGAGTCAAGGCAAGAAAGAAATCCTGCTTCGATCACAAGCCTTTTTTGATTCTTTTCTTTTTTTTTTTTTTCCCCCTCCTGTCTATGATAAACTTTGGTGTAGTTTCCCCCTGTAGACGAATCATAACACCAAGCACGTATCTTTCTGGAAGGGACCTTGAGGGGTTGAGTTCGTGATTGACGGTCATCGTCTGACGGTGGTCAAGGGTCGCCAATCGGACAGTTATCACATTAGGTTCTGGGCTCGTGGGGGAACGGCCGAGCATGGCGAATGCAGGATACAGCATGGTTGGCACAATCTAGACCGTCCCGGCTAAACGACGATATCCGGTTTGTTTCCAGCGTACAAGGCCGCGGAAGGAGGGAACCGCACCGCCTGAAGCTTGTTATTGGTAGGGACGTGGCTAGACGGCGAAGGGAGTTTCTTACTGGTGGTGTCAATCAATTAAATCTTAATAGAGTGGGGGGGGTGTCTTTCACGCGGAGGAGCAAGTAAGCTCTGTCGATCCGTCAACGTTGAATCGTCGGCCCTCTGATCCGACACAGCTATGGTTTCTCTTTTCTGTGTTTTCGTCCTTACCAGGATTGTACTTTCGCTCTGCTTATCATCGCCGTTTGATACAGAAGTACTGTCGGAACATACATCGATGGTTTACGGTACGGGGCAACGAAAAATAAAGTTACAGATACTACTAAAACCTGTTTCTTGATTTTATTTGATTTTTTTATTTTTATTTTTTTTTTCTCTCTTTTGATTCCTATGTTTATTTTGAATCTTTTCCCTTCCCGATTTTCTTAATTTTTCTCAACCCCAATTCCACTCGTCTTGGTCCTGGCAGACATGAGTCAGGTTGTTGAAGTACGGATCAATCGGATACGACGGTTTGTATGCCCCCGTACCGTACATACATTCATACATACTACTCCCCCTCCATCTGATCTACCCATCGGCTGTACACAGTATCCTGCTTTTCTACCCGTCGAGCGGATCCAAGAGCAAAGGAGGGATTCTTTAGCATGTATCCGCTCTCTGCTATCGACCAGGTCTATCAGATGCATGCGGGAGACTCCACTCAGGGAAGAGGAGTCCGCCAACCAGAATGGGGTGTTGGTCTCCTCTTTCCAAGACAAAGAAAGAGCATCTGCACTGGAACCCAGAGGTGTCACTCTTGGCGGGAAGGTGACGTTTGCACACTGAGCTCTAGGGTACCAGATTATGTGATCGCGCTGATCGGACCCATGGTTTTCCGCCCACCTCGTCGGGGAGACAGAGAAGACCGGGAGCTCTGGCCACCGCTGACAGACGGTTTCAACCTTGGTTGGCACCCTTTTCTGACCCGTGCACTGGTTGAGAGTCCCCTCGAGGGTCCTTCCTCTCTCAGCACATTGAGAAAGTCTCCGTGATCTGAGTTCACTGTAAGGTACAGACTTTTTATCAGCGTATCCACAGTTGATATCATGCTGGGAGACCTTGTTTCGCCGCATATCCGATCCCCATTCTCCCTGATCGGAATGGTTGAAAAGGATAAAAGTCCCAAATTTACTGGTTCAGGCAGGTAGATTGACTGCAGATAGGATGAAAGAGCCTATTGAAGAATCCCTCCCCGTTGTTGTTGAGAGTGGTCCTGTAAAGCTTTGGGGGTCCCTCGTATCTCCTCCGAGGAGTGTCGCTGACTCGTGCGATGAGTTTATTTACTGTTTCTGCTTGAAACGTAATCGATGAATCAGGACAAGTTTTATTGTTAAAATAATCATCATCATCATAATAATCATTATTATTATTTATTATTATTACTATTATTATTTCTTTATTTCTATTTTTTCTTCACGTTGATTGGGGGTTCGGGTTTGGGCCTGGAGATCATGATACACGATTCCTCTTCGGCCACCCAGTTGGCGGTCATCGCCGATGGTCTCCCTCGATCACATTCTGAGTAAATTGTTTTTGCCATTGTTGTTTTTATTATTATTATTCTTGATCATCGTCGATCACAGTTGAAGTTCCAACCGTCCGTCAGGGTACCATGGTCTTCTTCCCTGTCCATTGGGCCTGCCAGGTCGCCGAAAGGACACTCGATGATTTCATCTCACTCGAGATGGAGGGAGGTACTTTTGAATTTTCGATTGCGTGCAGAAGGATCTTCGATCTCGCAACTTCTCGTTGATTCACGAAGGACTGAGCAAAGCTCTCCCATGCGACTTGGCAGTCCAACTTAAACCCCCGACCATCCATGATGTCAACGACCCCCCCACTGACAAGCCCTCATTGGCTCCTTGTTCTCCCCGTGGACCTGGTCCGGGATGAGAAGCCTAACCAATGAGAGGGTGTCGGGAGTGGTTTGACAGGTTGTGTTTGATCGCTGAAGGTTGAAAGGCTGAAGGTAACTGAGAAAGAAGATGGAGAAGGGGGAGAAATGTCATCGACCCCAACTCGTGATCCGCGGAGGAGACAAACAAACATGGTCAATCTCTTTCTCTCCATGAATTCAGTTCCTCCGTTCAGGTCGTTTCTCTCCAATCAATTCATCAATGAATTGAATCTGTTTGGGCATTCATTCTTGTTCGTCTCTCATGTCCCGTCTGGCGTTATCTCCATATAGGGAGCTCCTGATCCACCTGATGTTCGTCCGGCCATGATTCTGCATTGCCTTCTCTCCCTCTTCTTATTTGAGCAATCCAACTGTTCGCCGTTGCATGTGGTGACTACGATTTCGTGGAGAGACCGGGTGAATCTTCTCCAACGTCATCTGTTCCACAGGGTTGCGGTTGCACTTCCCCAGCTGGCCCACTTGCCTAGAAGCTTTCTGCAACAGCCTTAGTCGTCTCGTCCTTGGAAGGTCTGGACACATGGTCCGATTCCAGAGAGAATCTTCTATCACTCCGGTGGGTCCCTTGCCTTGATATCCGGCCTTGGAAAGAGGGCTTCCCATCCACGGATTTATTTTCCTACCCCCCCGTTCTGGTTGAACCTCGTCTTCGATTTCTTCGATTTCTTCGCTTTGTTGAGAGGAAAAACTACCTCTCGGCCTTTTGCCAATTCCCGCACGGCCAACCGTGGTAACACTGCCTGCCGCACTGGCCTTACTTGCCTTACTTAAAAACATACGCTTTTCCCCTCTCCGCTACCAAAGACCTTCAGCCACCACCTGAAACTCTTCCCACCGGCCATTCTATCATACGACTCCTCGACTCGTCTGAATCCTCTCGCTCGAACTGTTCATATCTAATCGACGTCGATCTCTCTCTCCCCCGTTGTCCCTGATCGGACTCTCCTCCTGTGTGCCTTACGCCTCTCTCTTGCTCTCTTTCTGCATCCCGAAAGCCCTGACATATATTGGTCGTCGTCTGGTCACTCTTGACTCTCGCTTCCCCCACTAACCATTCACAACCCTCCTTTGGCATATTCTTCGTCACTTCGCTCTCCGGCAGACTGTTAGTATGTCAGTGGAGCAACCTCTCTACCGCCGCGATCAGGCCGCGATGACAGATCCCACCGGTGCCGACTCAGCTGCCTTCGCCGCGGCGACCGCTTTCTCACAGCCCGACTTGTTGGCTTTCTCGCTCCCGGAAGAAGAACCGGTCTGGGGTTTCGAGACCATCGTGCCGGCCATGGCCTCGTGGCCCAGCAAGATGGAGCCACAGACCTTTTGCAACCCGAGCATGGAGGAGGGCTTTAAGAACACTCGCGTCCGCAACGGACAGCCCACGCCGCCTCCCTTTGATGACAAGAAACTGCAGCCCCCCATGGGAGAGACGTACCCGCTGGCACCATTTGTCTTCACCAGCTCCCCGCCCGAGTTTGCCCCCCCGAAACAGCGCAGCAGCCTCAGTGAGTCGTCGCAGACAGGCAGTTACACGGTCAGCCCCCGACGTCGCAAGGCGTCGGCCGCCGCCCTGGATGACCCCCCGCAGGAGCGAGCGAAGCGGGAAAAGTTCCTGGAACGGAATCGGTTGGCGGCCAGCAAGTGTCGACAGAAGAAAAAGGAGCACACGAAGCACCTGGAGATCCGGTACCGCGAGGTATCCAGCAGGAAAAGCGAGCTCGAGAATGAAATCGAACACCTGCGCGGCGAAGTGCTCAACCTCAAGAACGAGATGCTGCGGCATGCGCAATGTGGAGACGAGGCTATCAAGCTCCACCTCGCCCAGATGGTCCGCATGATCACCTCTAAGGACACCCCCCACCGCGATGTGGTTTCTCCCGTGCGATCCCCGGAACAGCACACGGCGGCGACTCCTCACGGGCTGTCGTTCGGGTTCGACGGTCCCATGCAGCTGCCTTCGGAGATGGGGTCGCCGTTGGATCAGCGACGAGCCTCTGAGCAGTCCATTCTGACCGACTCATCCTACACATTTACCACGGATGACGGGTTTGAAGAGCTAATTAATGTTTAAGCGGGTCACGTCATTGGCCTTGGTGTTTCTTAGCGTTTCTTTTCTAATTTTTCTTCTTCTTCTTCTTTTTTGTGTTTTCTCTCTTGTTTACCATTTTCTTTTTCTACAAAAGGAAAAAAAAATTGGTTTTCTTGTATCTCGGTGGAGTCCGATAAAAGCGACTTGCATAATGCCCGATTCTCGCACACGAAATGAGACGTCCGAAATGTTACGAATCTGACCAAGTCGGCTACTTTGCTTACGATGAGCTCTGGCGTTTGGCGTTTAATGGATACAGGCAAGTGTTCCGGTTCAGGGCCTGGGCGGATTTACTGTTGCGGAGTGGTTTATTCCTGGCTGGCTGTATTAATAGATGTTGGCGGTCGATGCTAGCGGCCTGCATGATTCTGGGGCATCTGGTTGGTCACTCGTTGGGCTCGAGGGACATTGCTTTACAATCAGATGTATAATACCTTCCGGTGTATCAGAAAATGGAAGAGCCCGTCCAATGTATGATCTCGTAGGATCGCCACCCAACGTAGCTCATGATCTTCGTAGACTGTCCCCGGCGACCATCGATCAGTCTTTGCCTCCACGATCAAACTATACCTCCAAACATTACATCAGTTTTGATATCCGACTCCGACTCAGACGATGAGGCGAATCCTCCTGACAGTGGCAAATCGAGCCAGGCACCGGGTTCTATCTCCAGCCGATAGTCATTGGCGACCCATGAACCATCGTTGGAAATTAAATTCGATCCCTGATGACGGCCGAGCTCCACCATGACATCGCCCAACCTTGGACTCTCTGTGGGGTCCATTGGCGGATATCCTTCCTCCTATCAAGCGAGCTTTATCCGCTCGGTTTTACTTTGACAAATTCCAGTCCCTGTTCTAGTCGATGCATCACGTCAGTTGGCTGCTCGAAGGTTAAGGTAGGGTGGTTTAGTACTTAGTTACTGCTGGATGGAGTGAGTGGAGTATGTTTTTGTTTCGGGGTTGTTGGTTGGTTTGTTCAGATATGGTATGGAGTATATGAAAGTATATACTAGGTAGTACATAGTATGGAGGTATGGCGTATGTAGTAGATAGTAGATAGTATGTAGATATAGACGAACCTCTTCCTTCTCATCACAGCATCTCTTCTCTTCCTCTATCAATAAACGATGGGATATCAAACTCGTATATGGGAAATAAGGTCTTATCCAGAATAAAAGCCATGCTTCTCAACTCTGACCAGATATGATATATTCTACCAGTCACACCATACTATCCTGAACCGACATACTACCCTTCAATACACAATACTATTTATTCCTACAGTCACTTTTTTGCATAAAATAGATGAAATAGAACACCGTGGGAAAAAGACCAGAATGAGTCTTTCTCGGTGGGATACTACTCTGCCATTTTACTAATAAAGATATAGATTACATAGATTACATAGATACTTGTAGACTGATAGATAGTAGATAGATAGATAGATAATAATTAGGGCTAAAATCCCACGGAGAACAAATCCAGATGCGCTTCATTGGTCCGAGATTAGAACCATTCCCTCTTATCTCCGGATATAGTTAAAAAGTTCTTCAGGTTACTTTGAAACATACTATATAACTAGTTATGCAATGCTGTGTCTAATATGTCCGGTAGATCACGCCTCCCCGTCATAGCTCCACACTATCTTATATGCATGTACTGTGCACTTACAGAGTAGTACAGAGTACGCGCACAGGATCTTACTTGCAGGGTAGGGTATGGTATGGTATGTACCTACGTCATATTATTTTATCTACCCTAATCTAAGATCCACTAGTGGAGAGTAACTCTGCACTTACTATGTACAGTAAAGTACACAGTAAGTAAATCGATCAGATTACTAGCATTATACTAGTACACAGTATATACTTGAGTGACTCTGGTAGTTTCTGAATTCGATATGACTTCATAGCGGGATTTGGCGGTGTTTGGTGTGGGTCTCTTTCCCCCCCCGGTCTTCGGGGTGGACTGTCTTCTGCTGCAATTGATTGATTTGTAGATCATGGATACATAGGCTTGCTGGGCTGATTTTTGGATCGTCTATACTTTTTTTTTTTTTTTTTTTTTTTTTTTTTTTTTTTTTTTTTTTTTTTTTTTTTTTTTTTTTTTTTTTTTTTTGGTACTTTGGAGGATTTGTTCAAGGGATTGTTCGGTGTTGTTTATCTGGGTGGCGTTGTGGTCTTTCTGGGTCTAGATTCTAGATTTCTGGGGTCTAGGTTCTAGTTTTGGGTCTTTGGGAGTATTATTAGTATACTCTTATACTGTATACTGTGTGTAGTATCGTGCTAATGCATGATGACGATGTCTGGATTTATACTGCATATACTCTGTAGTGATCTATGTTTATTGTATGTACTTCTATACTCCGTACTGTAGAATTACTCCCCAATAGACCCGTATCTCTCACCCTCTCTACCCCCATGTCTAGAAGAAGAAGAAGAAGAAGAATCACTCCCCTTCCCCAAGCCCTCCTCATCCAGTATACTCTCAAAAAGCCCCTCGATCTCCTCCAAGCTCCTCCCCCCCGTCTCAGGCAAACAGCCCCACACAAACCCTGCAATGGCCAGATCTAGCACCCCGAATAACAGAAACGTAGCCCAGCCCATGCCCGCCAGGATATACGGCGTGCTGGCCGACCAGACGAAATTGCCGAGCCATTGGGCCGCGACGCCGGCTGCGACGCCCGGCTCGCGGATGCGCGTGTTGAAGAGCTCGGCCGTGCAGGGCCACGGGAGGGGACCCCAGGAGAAATTGTAGGCTATGATGTCCAGGTAGATTAGGGAGATGGTTAATATTCCTGTGGTTCTTATGCTACTACTGGTGGTGTGGCTTGGGGTAGTGGACGGGTCGGATCTGACGACAAAGGCAGTGGACACCATGCAGAGGGACATGGCCAGGGCGCCGAGGATGAGCAGGGGTCTTCGGCCGAAGCGTTCGGCGACCCAGATGATGAACGCGAGACAGCTGATGACTTTCAGGGCGCCGAAGATCCCCGTGAGCAGGAGTGTGAGGGACTGGTTTGCCCCGCTGGGCCCCACCAACAGCGAGAAGAACTGCGGCCCGAAGTAGGCCATTGCCGTGGCGCCGGTGGATTGCTGCGCAAGGAAGAGACTGATCCCTAGCAGGAATCGACGGGCATTGGGTCTTTCGAGTAGTTCGCGCACATGGAAGTCGGCGGTGGCGTGGCGGTCGGCTTCGATGCCCTCTTTGATTTGGGCGAACTCAGCCGCCACAGAGGGCCCGGATGATGCCCGGATCCAGGTTAGACTGGTCCAGGCGCGATGGGAGTCGCCTTGGCTGAGCAGCCAGCGAATGCTTTCATCGAGACTCAGCATGCCCAGGCCCATGAGAGCGCCGGGGACGAGCTGTAGGGCTAGTGGGATTTGCCACTGCGCGGCGGTGGGGGCGCGGAATTGGATTCCGTAATCGACCCAGTAGGAGACGAGGATGCCGACGGTGAACGTGAACTGGTAGCAGCTACCCAGGCGGGCGCGCATGTCCGTCGGGCTCATTTCTGAGAGGTAGATGGGGATCACCGTGGCGGATCCCCCGATCCCGAGGCCGCAGATGACGCGGCCAAGGTAGAAGAGTGGCAGGGAGTGCGAGTTGATGACCTCGAAGACGACCCCCAGACAGAAGATGGCGGAGCAGTACATCATGGCTCGTCGACGACCGTGGCGGTTGGTTACAGGCCATATTGCCAGGCAGCCAACCAGGGCGCCGGCCTGTTGGATCCCTACCGCGAGAGCACTCACGCGGGTTTGGATATCAGGGGTGCAATGAAAGTCACGGAGAAAGGAGTCGAAGGTGAGGACACCCCCTGCGGAGTATTAGATAGATCTGGAATGCACACCACGATTCAACCAACCGATGACGCCCGAGTCATATCCGAAAAGTATGCCACCGCAACAGACAATGGCCGTGAGCCAGTAGATACGGAATACTCCTTGTCGTGACAGGAGCGGCTCAGGGTGCACGGTGGAATCGGTATGATCCCATTGCGGGATCTGCGTGTAGGAAGTCATATTATTCCATTTCACATCCTGAATCTCTCTTGAAAGACGATATGCTTCCCCTTGTATAGGAGAGATGAACATCGAAGTCCGTACACGGACTACCCAAAAGGGAGGCAGCTGACGTCAGCTGATGACGCCCAAAAGCGACAAACAGCCGACAGCCGAGCGACTTGGAGACGCAACCAAAAGCCCTAATGGCGCCATATCAACCAGGAAATGATATTCTTCCCTCGAAGATCTCACTGGAGCCAGCCTTCAACCCGCCATTCAGCATGCTGCTACCCCAGGTACACAGTACTTCCATGCCAACCCCTGGGATTCAGGCGTTTCGCAAAGCCGACAGCCGACAGACGATCGGATCCAGTCAAGATATAGTTCGAGATAATATTGATCGTGATAAATAGAGCGCATTCTGCGCTTCTCCGGCCGAGATGAGGCCTCTAGACTATATTCTATGCACTATTAACAGAAACCATGGCTCCCAAACGCCCCAACTTCCTCGTCGTCGTCGCCGATGACCTGGGCTTCTCGGATATAGGCTGCTTTGGCGGCGAGATCCGCACGCCGAATCTCGATCGCATTGCGAAGCAGGGTGTGCGGTTTACGGACTTCCACGCTGCGGCTGCGTGCTCGTAGGTTCCTCTCATGACCACCCAATACTACCTCCAGAAGAATAGAACTGACCAAAAATAGTCCCACCCGTGCCATGATCATGACCGGCACTGACCACCACATCGCTGGCCTGGGCAACCTCATCGAATGGACCAACATCTCCGGTCAGAACGGTCCCAAAGGTTCCGCGATGAGCACCGCGCCCCAGCGCGGCATGCCAGGTTACGAGGGGTATCTCAACGAGCGCGTGGTGGCCCTCCCCGAGGTCCTCCGCGACGCAGGCTACCACACCCTCATGTCAGGAAAATGGCATCTGGGCCTGACACCTGAGCGTTCGCCGTTTCATCGCGGCTTCGATCGCTCTCTAGCCCATCTCCCTGCTTGCTCAAACCACTACGCCTATGAGCCCCAGCTGCAGGGCACGGACGAGACACCTACTTTCCTGGAAGCTAGCTATATCGCCCTGCACATGGAAGACGACAAGTATGTCAAGAAGCTGCCCGAGGGCTGGTACTCAACCGATGGCTATGGCGACAAGATGCTCCAGTACCTCCGTGAATGGCACGACCGCTCCGATGAGCGTCCCTTCTTCGCCTATCTCCCCTTCACCGCTCCACACTGGCCTCTGCAAGCCCCTCGCGAGTACATCGACCACTACCGCGGTGTCTACGACGACGGCCCAGAAGCACTTCGTCAGAAACGTCTCCAGCGCCTCAAAGAACTAGGCATGATCCGGTCAGACGTAGAAGCCCACCCTGTCGTGGCAGACGAAGTCAAACCCTGGTCCGAATTCACACCAGAGGAACAAAAGCTCTCCTGCACCGCCATGGAAGTCTTCGCCGGAATGGTGGAGTGCATCGATGCGAACGTGGGCAAGGTAGTCGACTACCTCTCTTCCATCGACGAGCTGGAGAACACCTTTGTCTGCTTCATGTCCGACAACGGTGCCGAGGGCGCTGCCTACGAAGCCTACCCCATGGTCCAGAGCGGTGTCATGCCCCATCTCCAGAAATACTATGATAACTCCCTCGACAATCTCGGCAACGGGAACTCCTTCATCTGGTATGGGCCCCGCTGGGCGCAGGCCGCTACTGCGCCGAGTCGATTGTACAAGGCGTTTACCACCGAGGGAGGTGTGCGAGTGCCCTTCTTAGCTCGGTTCCCGTCGTCTGTTTCCGTAGGGGATCATGTGCGTAACGGAAGCATCACGGACCAGTTTGCAACAGTTATGGATCTTGCTCCTTCTATCTTGCAGATGGCGGGCGCGACGCACCCGGCGCCGTCGTATAAGGGTCGTGAGGTTGTCACCATGCGTGGTCGCAGTTTTTACCCCTGGGCGAGTGGGGATGCGCCCCGTATTCATGAGCAGGAGTTTATCCAGGGTTGGGAGACCTGTGGGAGAGCGGCACTGCGCTTTGGGGACTGGAAGATTGTCTATATCCCGAAGCCGAAGGGCCCCGAACGGTGGCAGTTGTACAATCTCGCCGACGATCCGGGGGAGATCCATGATCTGGCGGACCAATATCCCGATCGGTTGAAGCAGTTGCTAAAGTTGTGGGATCAATATGTCATTGAGACGGGAGTGATTCCGTTGAATCCAGATCTAGGAGACTTTCTGGAGGCAACGGAGGCACAGATGCCAGAGAATGCGTGGATGGAGTATGATTATTGGAAGAAAGGGGCGAGGGATGAGCCTGAGAAGTTCATGAGAAACCCCCCTAGGTTCCAGAGAGTTGTTAAGCAGTTTTAGCTGTAAATTTGTTGATATATATCTCTGTACGAATATCATGACTGATGGATCTTGTATGATTCACGTTGTTGAGCTTCACACGATGTCGCTTAGATTAGTACGAAGGGGTCTACGAAGAGTTCTCGCCGCACAAGGCGCGAGTCTGCCCACGTTCGAGACGCATCCTGGCGCTTGGTCATCTCCTCAAGTAACAACAGTATCTTTTTCGCGTTGGGATGTCGCTGAGCCACGGGCCTATGGTCACTAGGCAAGTCGGCCATGCGCTGCATTTCCTGGATAATCCATCCTCGCTGCTCCAGTGAGCCTTCCAACCCGGCCACGAATAGCGGCCAGGTAAAGCTGATCGGCAGGCGATGGTTCACACTGCCGGACTCCACCGTGGCCAGCTGGATGATCTGGTCCACCGCGCGATGCACCCGGTCTGTCCGCGGATAGATCACAAAAGCCACTCGGTGGAGATAGATGAAGATGGCCAAGAAATTAGCCATGTACTGGCGAAACGTGCGGCAGACTTCGTCTGCCACGGCTGGTTGAAGGGTGTCGTATAGTTCTTCTGGCTTATCATAAATATCTAGCACCCGTGGGCGTTTGTTCCAGAGGGCTTCTAGGTCGGCACCGATCTGGTGCGCAATCTGGAGGACTTCAAACTCATCGCTGACTGTCCCACGCCTGCGGTGGTGCATGTCGAGACAGACAATACGGCGGATGACTTGTTGAGCCTTGAATAGGAAGGAATATGCGGGGCCAACAATGGCCTTGTGTATGAGATAACCTGGTTTCGAGAGAAGCTCGTCCTCCAATCGTTGATCTGTCTCAGCCGTGTCAACTTGATCTAACATCCCTAGCTCAACAAGCGGATCCCCATCACGGCCAGCAATCAGCGCTCTGACGTCCAACAAAGAGATCCAGGAAACTATCAAGTGGCCAAACCCGGTCCATGACTTGGTTTGGTGGTGGAAACGCTGTAGCAACAAATACGCCGAATGGAGAAAGGACGTACTAGAGTCCCCTAGCTCTGGCAATGACACTACCTATACATGTTTAGCTCGATACGCATGCTAGAAAGCGCCTACATACCTCCGACAACATAAGCAGAAAAACCGCCGTCAATGCTTTCTTCAGTAGCGAATCATCCATACTCTCAGTGATACAAGATTGGATCTCCGAGCTCGCCTGTCGATGATACACCGGGGCCGCTCTCCACCGTTTGCCTTCTTCCATCGACTTACGTATATCAGAGTAACAATACAACGCATTTAACAAGCAACTAGCATCTGCTGAAAGAGAGACAATGACGCTGCGTACATAATTCCATTCTAGGGAAATAGACCCAAATGGCGTAGGCGGCGGATCTATCTCCGCAAAATGAGACAGTAGCTGTTCTTCGTAAGTTTCCCTCGTCTCGGGCCATATAGTTCTATCACCTGAGGGTATATTCTGTACCCCATCTGATTGACTGTCACTCGGGCTGGGTAGTGTCCCGACGGATGTATCAACAGTCCAAGTCGGCTGTTGCACTACGTAGTTACTACCTCCAACATTCCCCAATGTCGTTGGAGATAGTGCTTCACTGGTAAGAGTAAACGCCGATACCCCGTTCGTCAGGTCGAGATGCTTCTGCTCGAAATCCGACGTAATCTCACCAATAAAGCTGAGCATATCAAAATTTGGAAAATCAGGAACTGCAACGGATGTTGATGGCAGCGTATGGTCTGAAATCTGGTGAGGCAACATATGCGATGCCCGGCGAGGACGCAGCTCACGAGGCTGCAGAACTGTGTCGAAGTAGTTTACATCCAGACGATCTGGAACATGGGTGGGGGCCGGGTCGATCGTGAAAGCCTGTTGAGGAAGTTGAGGTACCCTCTGGGTGCTCCGCCGGGGTGCAATCCCTGGAACAATAGTCTTGTAAATGCATTGCAGTCGTAGTCGAGTACAATTGGCACAGGTTGGCTTGACCTCGTCGCAGCGGACTTTACGTGCACGGCATGTCAAGCAGCCGGTGCGGCGGCGGGGCCCTGATCGGCCTGTTCCCCGTGCTTTCGGAACCTGAACTTCCTTAGCTACAGGTTTGTGAGACATCTTCCAGGGGATTTACCTCCATAGTTGGATGTAGTGCGCTGTAGTCATGGTGTCGTGGTTGCAGTGCAGGAGTTGAAGTTGGATTAATTCAAGAGACTAAAGATGGACGGCGTTTCCCCGCAATTCGGCAAGGGGCGTGATTGGCAGGTCATATAGTGATTTATCCTAAGTAAATATGGATGAAACATAAAAATATATAGAATTAAACCAGGATTGCCGAACCTTCTTGTATGATGAATCTTCCATGTTTTGGTTCTGTGTTTATCCTACAGGTGGTACAAGCAACCCGACTATACATGCAAATATTAATCATCACATCGCATGCCCCTGGTGGGCACCTCCCCACCAAACAACCGCAACTTATCACCTCCAAAGCACTTGGATGTATGCAGCAAATGCCCTCGTTCCTTCCGGACGTACGCTGCGAAGCATACGGCCGCCATTGCAATTGCCCCGTAGCTGATATACACTGGATACTTGAACTGCTCCGGAAGCGGGAAGACGATGGTCGTTGCAAACGAGAGCAGTTCAAAGATATTTTGCAGTGCCATTTCTGTGGACGAAAAGCGGGCTCGCGCATGTTCATCGACACCCTGTAACTGTCAGAAGAGAAGTTATGATTCTCTTGGGGACATGCTTACCTCCTGCACGAGAAACTGCACCGACAAGTCGAATCCCCACAGCCCAATGCGACTTAGGGCGACGCCCACAATGAGACTCACCGCAACAAGCTGAGAGCTGTTGTTGAGGAAGACAAAAGCAGCAACTGCAGCGGCTAAGCAGCCAAATTGCCAGTTCAGGAACCACAGCCCGGACCGAATGGGCCCGATTTTATTCATGATGAACGGGGCGGCCCATGTCCCCGACAGTTCTGCGATCACAGCACCAATCCTCATTCCACTGACTTGTAGAGAATTGAAGCCGGTATGAAGTAAATAGGTGACCATCGTCGTTCCAAACGAAAGGACAGTGAGATAAAGTAAGCTCAGGGCAAATGACGCCAGAAAGAGAGGACTGGAGACATATTCCCGCCATGGAGCAACGACACCTCCAGCGTACTGCACCATGCTGTGGGCTATGCTGCATTGAGGAATCTGATCATCGGAAGTTGCTTCTTCTCCTTCATTTTGATTCACATCGGTTTCTTGAGTTCGCTCTAGTTCTGGCACTGATTTATACACCTATTGTTTCCGTAAGTGGTTGCGACTGAGTTAGAACGAGTAAAGCGATGGTACCTGCGCTATTGCAAAATATTCTACCAAGACGCACGACGCATTCACGCCCAAGGTCGTCCATATCGCAACCCGGGTAGAAAAGCTATCTATTAAAGAGATAACTACAGGAGCGAGAAGCTTGCAGACGAGATCTATCCGTCTCATGGAGGCATTCAAGTCTGACTATATGTCAGTCTACTTCCCCAGTGCTACCGCAAAAGATAATCTAACCTTGCCTTGGGATTTGTAATGCATCTGATACAACGATTGCCTTTTTAAGTTAGAGTGTTTAACTTGACCCAATAAATGGAAATACTCACCCAGTCTCTTTCTACCGCCACGGTGTTGGCTGTATAGGCCAGTTTTTCAAAGCACGCAAGCAGAGTGACCACGGCGAACAAGAGCGGAGAGATATAGGGCGGCCCTAATGGGGTCAGAAGTGCAACAAAGCATGCACAAGATAATGCCACTGGAAGTCGTTGCCATACTAGACTCTGGTTAACTATGCGATCTCATAGCTCTAGCGGAACAGAGGGCAGATAGGGCATACTTATAGACTGTCGGATCACCTTCAACCGGTTCGACCGATCTACTATCGAGCCCAACCAGGACGACAATAGTACTGCAGACAAAGAGCGCACCAGTGCATAGATGGAAGCGTACAACAAAGTGCCCGGGAAGATCGAGGCCAGGAACAGGACCGCTCCAAACTCAAACATGCGCGAATTCCATGTCGACAGGCTATGTGAGATGTATAGTCTGGTCAGCACTGGCTTTGAAGCACGTATTGGAGTCTCGATAGACTCTGATGAAGATGACGGTGCCAGGAACGGCTCCGCCTCATCTGTGGAGTCCCCGCGAGACATCTTCGGGGATAACGAATCTATTGATATGTCCTTCCTTTCTTTCTACTTCTGCTTTTTTTGTTCCCTTAATTCATTCTTGACCTGCTGCATTTGAAGTCTGTCACAGAGTCGATGACGAGGATTGAGAGATGAAATACACGGGGGTAACGGTGGACTGACGATATGAAGGTGCCGGACCGAAGCGCATTTAATTGCCGATAACTCAAACAAATCCAATTTGTTATCTGATTAGATTATGGATCCATTGTTATCCCCAACAATTGTCAATCGATGCACTAGTTAGTTAGTCTTAAGGTCATTAGTAAATACAAAACAAGCTTGGATCCATAAAGTGTTTGCTTTAATACCATGAGGTAGCAGCTACTAAGTCATTCATACCTACGGAGTACACCAGTCTCTTATTAACAATACATAGACTCCACCTCTTCCGCACATCACCTACTATGACTGGGTTCAAGGTCAAAGGTTGTACGCTCACAGATCTGATTTGTACCGTCTAGCTCCTGTAAATCGATGAAATACATGTCAATAAAATTATACCCATTGTAAAAACCTGACAATCAAAAGTACAGAGGAACTGAAAAATCGCCGTTTATTTCTTTTTCCCGTATCTATTCCCAACGCAGGCCCTCGGGAGTCTGAACAGTGCGTCTGGCCAACACTTCCGCGACCTTCTCCCGGACACCCTCCTTGTTGCCCCATTTCTGAACAAATTCGTTGATCGTCTGTTGATTGCTCTCCGTGCTGTCGCGCACAAACTTCGCAATGTCTTTCTCTGTGGGAAGGCCGTAGTGGGCATGAGGATATGCACTGTAAGTGGCATCACTCAGGAGCGGCAGGCGAGACTTCTCGTCGGGGAGCTCAAAGAAAGCATCGACATCCGCCTGGGAGACTTCCTCGAGGGTAGCAGGCTGCCAGGAGGCCTGGCGGGGAGGCTTCGACATGAGACGGGCCTTGACACCCTCGACGAAATCCGGGTGCTGCATGAACTTGCTAGCGATATGATGCTCACGCTGGAAGGTCTCGGAGATGGACCACTTCTTACCCAGACGCATCTGGCGCAGGGTGACCCTGAGCGAGGTGGGGGAGCGAATGGAAAGAGTCTCCAGGGTCTTCTGGGCCCATTCCTTCTGCTCTGTCTCCTTCTCCAGCGCCTGGAAGATTTCTTCCACGGTGTTGTACTTGAAGCATCGGTCAATGGCGCTGCGCAGGCCGCCAGCAAGAAGCATTGGCTCCTCTGCGAGCGATGGCAGACCGGTGGAGAATTCAGCCATGGTGTTGTTGACCAAGTCCATACGCTCCTTGGGGGTAGCCTGATCCTGGAAGACCAGCTCAGCCAGACGGTTGGTGAGGTTGCTCAGCACGCTGGAGTGGAAGTAGTGTGTGGCAATACCGGCATAGAGAGCCTGGACGCCGGTCAGACGCTCCGAAGTGAGGGCGAGGTAGGTTCCGATTTGGCCGTCCAGACGGGGCAGGAAGAAAGAGCCGCCAACATCCGGGAAGAATCCGATGGTGGTCTCGGGCATGGCGAAGACAGTACGTTCGGTTGCGATACGGAAGGGGGCATGAACACTGAGGCCGACACCGCCTCCCATGGTGATGCCGTCCATGACGGAGATGAAAGGCTTGGAGTAGGTTGCGATGGTGTGATCGAGCTGGTATTCCAGACCGAAGAAGTCGGTCGATTTCTGCTGTCCCTCGGGGCCCTGCTCGTTCTGCAGAGCGAGGGCGGCAACGTCTCCGCCAGCGCAGAGAGCCTTTGAGCCTGCGCCGGCAACCATGACAACATTGGCCAGCTGGGATTTTTCCCACTCCTATTCCACGCTTAGCAACCATAACCTTTGTACAACCATTCGCCAATGCAGCTCACCTTCAGCCGAGGGAGGATCTTCCGAGCCATCGAACCGTTCAGGGAATTGAGCTTCTTAGGGCGGTTAAGCTCGACCAAGCGCACGCCGTACAGAGAATTGAACAAAACATCGTCGGGCTCATCGCCGGGCAGCTCTTTGGGGAGGTTCGTGGAAGTTGACATCTATAATGACAATCGTTAGCAACCGATGTATTAAGACACAAAAAGAAGGGCCAAGTCCATACTGTGGCAGCTTTGAAAGCTGGGTTTGTCACTTTGGCGCGGAGAGGCATGGTTGCTGGTGAAACCCGCGAGATCCAGCTCGACGGTGTTGAGAACCGGGAGATATTGTGTCGGAGTAACATTGGTCAGACCTTAGCCTGTCGGACAGGAAGGAGAAACAGAGAAAGGGCGAAGAGAGGGGGTGTATTAGTAGTATCGAGACGCTCACGGTTAAAGACGATCTCCGCTTCGCTTGACCTCGGAGTTTTTCCCGGCGGACGATTTTCCTCGCCGACTGAGCAGCCAAGCGTCCTGTAAACAGCTGATAGCCGGCCCCCAGCCATTACCTACACTGGACCATTTTTGACTGGTTCTCTTGGTCTGAATATAGCGTATAAATTATGCATTCCTCGGTCTGTACTTAATCACGAGCGGACTGGGTCTTTTTTTTCAGGTATAGGTAGTAGAAGTAACTCATTCCCTATGCGTATCCATATCACACGATCAACCAAAGAGAAATATAGCTGGTCTGCTTCTTCAGGTCAAATTACAAGCGACAATCATACATTGCTAGATTCTATTTGTACAGATAACAGTTCCTCAAAGCCCAAAAAGTAACATCCGTTCGCCCGTCGACAAATCAATACAGAGCCTTCGCAGGCTTAACAGCCAAGTCCCTCGAGTGATTAGCCAGGATACGGTCCAGCGCCTGCTTCTCGATAATCAAACGTCCTGTCTCCAAAAGGTCCTTGACATCCACATCCTTGCGGTCCAGAATCTTCGCATGCTCGCCCACCTCACGCACCGTAGCAAACAGACCCTCGTTCAGCTGATCCGTGATCAGGGTCGACCGTCCAAACTCGCGGCCCCAGTTGTTAACCTTGAAAACTTCTTTGATCAAGTGCGGAGTAGCATCTTCCGGGATGGAGATGTCGTTGTCGATAATGATCAACTGGCCGCGGCGGTACCGATAGCTGAGAGCTATCCGCCATGCCTGGTCGTAGATCTTCTGAGGAAGGCTCGTGGAGAAGTCTCGAGGGTGAGGGCCGTGGGCAACACCTCCTCCTGTACGGGTGGGAGATTTCTTGTCGCCAACACGTGCTTTGCCGGTACCTTTCTGCGTATGCAATTTCCTGCCACTTCCGTGCACATCGCCCCTCCACTTGGTGTTCGCCGAACCTTGTCTGGACATGTCACCTTCGTAGATGACAGCCCGATGTAAGATATCCTTCCGCAGGGGCATCAAAAGATGGTTCCGAGGGTATTCCACAAAGCGCAATGGTTCCATCGAAGGGAAGGAGTAGGTGGTTGCCCGCGCGGGTTCCGTAGTCCACACGGGTTTGGGGGCTTCACGGGTAAGGTGCTCGGTAGTAGCTTGGGACTCCGTAGCCATTGACCGTGAAAAGGACTTCGTAAGGCATTGTTGCTGTGGAAGGTGACCATGATGGTTAGAGTTGACGTTATGATGCGAATGCAACCGGAAAGGTAAAGAGAACAACAGCACATACTGTAGTGGTCTCAGACCCCGAGAGCAACCCACCAGTGCTCCGGGAGAGCCATCTTAAGGCACGAAGCGCGTCACCTCCAGGCATTGTGCTGTCGGTAAAGCTCAGAGGAATGTCGTTGAATTGGGGGGAACTGGGGTTGCCAGATGGGCGATGAAGCAAAAGTTCAGACGGGAGGCGCTAACCCGCTGAGGCTTGGCTCCGACAACGAAAAAAGTTCCGTCCGGCAAGGAACACCTACTCTCCCCGACGTCTGGAACGAGAACCACCTCGCCTTCTTTCTTTACACCCTCTCACCAACCCCATCGTCCCCGCCAAAATGGCCCATTGCGAGCGGGCAGCAAAGCCTTTGCTCCAATGCCTTCAGAAATCCTACCCTAGAGCCCTTCCGACCCTTCAGGTGCAGTCAACCCGGGCCTTCCAGACTACCGCTCTTGCTCGCGAGGAAGCCCAGGCTGAACCGAAGAGCCAACCCTTCCACAAAGCGCCCGACCCAGCGCTTGTATCGAGTCCTCGATTGGAACGACGATTACTACGACAGGGTGTTTCGCCCATTGGATCTCGCAGACGTCGCGCGGCTTTGCAAAGCTCACCAAATGTCCCCTTCGACCAACTGCCCTACCAATGTTTCCAGGAGGCACGGCAGGTCCTGCTTGCGGACCGGGAGGAGAAGCTGAAGGATATCGTGTCCATGAGGGAGAAGATCGCCAGGCTTCAGGCGGTTCCTACAGAAGAAGCGGGAGGCGAGCAAGTGAAGAAGTCGCGCCTGGTAGCCATGGAGCTCCATCTGGAACGCCTGAAGATTCTTGCCGACATTAACGACCCATTGGTGAAGAAGAAGTTTGAAGACGGACAGGGTGAGCATTTCCCTGTTGAGATCAATCCTTATCTCACATCTACGTCTGCTCCTAACAAAAGTTGATTACAGGCGATATGAGCAAGCCCATCTACCGTTATCTGGCCGACAAGAAATGGAGAGAGTACCGCCGCAAGATCCTTGTCCAGAGAATCACACAGATGAAGGTTATCCCTGATGTCCTTCCTCACTGCGACCCCACCGTCGACACCAAGCTCTATTTCGGCCGGTCCCCCGTTCAGCCCGGAGAATTCGTCAACTCCCGCGTCAGCACATCTGCACCAAAACTGGACGTGCAGCTCTTCGAGCGGGGTGAGAAGCTCGTGACGATCGCCGTGGTCGATGCCGATGTTCCCAATGTTGAGAAGGACGGGTTCGACTACCGGATGCATTATCTGGCGGTCAATGTACCCATCTCGGCCGTGTCCACCAAGGTCGATCTGTCCGCGCTCTCGTCGGAGTCGCAGGTCGTCCTGCCATGGCTGCCTCCTGTTGCCCAGAAGGGTAGCCCCTACCACCGTCTGTCGGTTTTCATTATGGAGCAGAAGGATTCGAAGCCGCTCGATTTCGCCGCCGTCAAGGCCAAGGAGACGACCCGCGACAACAAGCTCCTCCGCACCCTGCAAGCCAGGTACCACCTGAAGCCCATCGGAGCACACCTGTTCCGTACCGAATGGGATTCGACGATGGCGGAGGTCATGAAGGAGAGCGGATACGCCGAGGTGGACATGGAGCTCCGCCGCAAGAGGGTCGAGCCTCTGCCTTACAAGAGGAGAAACCCAGCTACCATGCGGTAAATGGACTCCCACTATATTTTTCCTTTCCGGTTATTCTATCATTGGCCTTATATCTGTACTGTACAATCGAACTGTATGAATATGCACAAATATCCCACAACTCCAGACTCCCAAAACTATGCTTGTAGAGAATAGATCCACTTAGTCGTCGAGCTGAGCCGGCTGCATCGTATTCTGCACCCATTGCGCTTTCGAGAGCGGCCAAACACGAGCAATGATCTTCCCATTGATCAAGCCCATAGGTATAGGACCATAGTTTCTCGAGTCCCTCGACCAAGGCAGGTTATCACCACCAACATACACATGACCCTCAGGCACCTAGCATCACAAAACCCCGTCAGCCACACGCACCATACCATTACCCAAGAGATCAAAAGAACAAACAAACCTGAATCATCTCTTGGCTCTTCCCAACCTCCGTACTAAACGGTAAATCCCGACAGACAAAATCCCCGGGCATACCAATGACCCTCTTGGCCCCATTCACGCCCAAAAACGTCGGATGATAAAACCGCACCACATCTCCCACCTCAATCCCCTTGCCATGTTTATGCACCCTCGATATCAACAGGTAATCGCCCCGCGGACTGAACGTCGGATACATCGACGGCCCTTCACTGAGCTGCACCGTGATCAGATGCTCCCAGATAAGCGTGCACGCGCAGAACAGTCCCACGCCGTCCAGCGTAAGCCGGAACACCCCGCCCGGCGTGGCCCTTCGCAATGTTTCTCGGAGTAGGCGCGACATCGGTCCTAGCTGGGCATTTCTGGTTGAGTTGAACTCCGGGGACCTCCTCTCAATTCAATTCAATTCCCAATTCGCTTGCTAATGGCGTCTGTCTCGATCTCCGGGTGGAGAGCTTCGGGATGGGTCACGTGGGGGGGGAAGGTATAAAAAGGCGGGAACTTTTTTTCCTCCCTCTTCTTTTCTTCTTCTGTTCATTGCAAGATTTTTTTTTCGCACAACAATGCCTGAGTCGATTTCGTCGCCCGCGTTTGGGTTTTGATGAATGGTTCAGTGGGGATATAAGTGTTTTATGTTTGCATTTATGATCTCTCTGGACGGTTCGAGTCAAAACTCATGGGTCGTTGGTTTTATGTGCCAACAATGTTATTCTATTCTGTCTTGCGTGATAGTACACATTTACATCGCTTCTAAAATTGCTAGAGCTCACCGTTGCCGAAATTAAACACCAGAACGCGTGAGTGTGGACAGTGAAGCAAGATGAACATATTTCGGCCGCTACGGTGGTCGGATTCCCTAAACGATAGCCCGGCTTGGACCCCATTTAACTATGGGAATGGGAAGCTGGGTGGTAATGCCGGGAGACAACCTCTATATAGTCAATACATTTTATTTTATTTTCATTCATTCATGACTGTTCAATTTCACTTTGCAGGTAGATGATAAGCAGTAACCTACGTCTTCCACGCAACATCCACGTCTAGAATCCACGTCAGCCCGGCCATACAACAACAACTACCATTCAACCTCAAACAAAGAAAAGAAGAACTCACCAGAATCCACCTCCCACCCCTCCGGCCTCTCCACCCCCTTCCTCACATCACTCTTATGTCGAACATCAACCCCAAACCTCTCATCTCTATCTTTACACAACCCCTCCAACCCCCCCTCATGCACCCTCTTCACATCCTCATCACTCGTAAAACTGCCCATAAGCACCGGCGCCCCCAACGGCACCGGATCCCCGCGATCCACCTGCCAGAAATGATACGTCTTGCCATACAACGGCAAGATATCCCTCATCTCAGCCGTCTCGGCCGTCTCCCAGACCGTGGCGGGAATGCCAGACGGCGCAGGCATGACCAGCATGCCGCTCTTGACTTCGTATTCGTGGCTGTGCCAGAGTTTCTTTTCCTCGGGGGGCAGGGTCGAGAAGAGACGCGGCGTGATCATGTATTCGACGCCAAGGAGTTTGGCGTTGCGGTCGGGTGATGAGTAGAGGAGGCATTGTCGTAGGTCTGTGGGTTAGGGTTGTTAGTGTAGAATATACAATATATTATATCATTCCTTCGGTGTGTGCGTATGCCATGGTAGAGTAGGGGGAAGGTTGAGTATATGTATACATGTATGGCTGATGCACACAGTACCTTCTGTGATATGGGAACAGTAGTGATTTGCCTCGATGCAGCGGGTCGGGTCGTCGACGTAGACGTGGAAGGCGTTTAGATGGGCGCAGATTTGTTTCACGGGCGTGAAGTCTTGGATGGCTGCGGCGCCGGTTTCGAGGATTTGCGATTTGGCGGTTTTGGGGTCGCCTGGGGGGTCGTTTTGGGTGGACATTTTTGTTGTATATGGGATTGGTTGGTGTGTACTTGGTGTGTACTCTGCAGGGTGGGAGTATTGGTGGTATAAAGTGTGAGCATGGATGGCATGCTTGGATGTTACTTATAGTATATAGATTCATGCCTGACGTCACGATGATTGAGGTGCTGCTGGATCATGGAGACATGGTTGTGCAGGTTTGTATTCAGGCTATTGGCGGATGTTGGGCCGGTCTAGGTATTAACTTAACTGTTGATTCATGGTAGATGTCGAATGTGCTGCTCGGATATTGTTCAATTCATCACCCCAACGCTCACCCATGCTACTATTTGTACATACACTACACATCGCATTCACATCGCATTCACATCGCATTCTTCATCTCCCGTAGAGCCGCCATCACTTCTACGGGGTTTGTCTTTCCGGTCTTTTTCTGGATCTCGGGGTCCTAGATGTACCATTAGCTTTTGATCCCAGATGACACAAGAGAGATCCTACATTGACGCGCATGAACACGTTATGGAGCTAAGCATAGCCTGTCAGCAGCTGCTACAGGAAGATCATTAATTCTGGAAATACCTTCTCATCACCAATCGTGAACTTGCCCTGTGTCTGCTGGTTCTGCTCTGCGAATGCCTGCAGCTTCTTGATAGGCTCTGACTGCGACACGGCAAGACAGAACTTCACATTGGCTTTGGTGTACTCGTGGCCGGGCTGTGTCATATCAGTATCGACCGGAAAGTATAAACAGGAATAGTCAAGAATGCAACGTACAAAGACCTTAGTATCATCCGGCAAAGAAGCAAGCGTCTCGTTCAACGCCTTGTGCATTTCCGGGGCGGTACCTTCAAAAAAGCGACCACATCCTATAATATATAAGCATAAAGCCAAGCCTATATAGTCTGAATTATCGAGGAACGGCAAATACATACCTGCAATGAACAGGGTGTCACCCGTGAAAACAACGCGTTCCTCGCCATCCTGCATGAAATAGCAGATACTATCTTGGGTATGACAAGGCGTATGGAGAGCTTTTACGGAGATGCGGTCTCCGATCTTGAACGTCTCTCCATGCGCCGGGGTCTGCGTCACCGATTGACAATTCTTACCCCCGATAACGGGGAGCTTGCCGAAGATTTTGAGCTGAGACAGTCAGTCGGTACTTTCGGTCTATGGGTAGGAGATTGATCTCGCTCACCAATTCATCATTGCCGCCCGCGTGATCCCAATGGCTTTTACAGTCAACATAGCTCATCCTCAAAGGGAGTGCCAAACTCACTGATGAGTATTAACAATAGCTGTCAGATCAATCTTGCCATCTGCGATTTGGCTCTTCAGCACCGGTGCTACTCTGCATCCATCAGCGCATGCCAACAACGAATACATATTGAGAACGATAACTCACTCTGGCGGGTTAGCCGGGTCAATGATCACGGACTGCTTGGTTGGCTCGTCCGTCACGAGGTAGGCGTAGTTATTTCCCTTCCCCGTCCCTACGATAGTAAGCGAGAGGAACTAAAACAATCCATGTTGATATTGACCTGTCACTCACACATGGGAATCGATTGGATATGCATGGCTCGGATGTGCTGCGCTTGGGCTGGGACAGAACGATTCTGGGCTCGAAATGGAGAACCGATGAGGGGTCGGAATAGTCTTGCGAAGCTCATGGATGAGTAGTTGATTTGAAATCAAACGAGCGCCGGTGGATGCGGGGAGAGCTTCAGTACGATGGTGATTGGGGATTACTTCATACCTGCTGAAATGCCCGCCGCTATTCCACATTGGGTATGTTAGAGCCTGAGGTTTCGGGCATCTGCCTAAGGCAGTTCAGTAGCCCAAGCATCCATACTAGCCATCTTCTTGTTCTGAACGTACAATGCTGGCGTTCCTTTCAATTACACAGGTATAAGTCAGATCAGTCCTCATTGCGAATGATCATCTTTGTTGTTAATGTATACATCATGATAGTAAAGGGGATCCTCACTCACCGCCGTAGTCAGGAATACAATATAGATATGGGCGTAAGACATTCTCTTCTTTTTTCTTTCCCCTATACGCCCTTTCGACACCATGTTTCCGCATAAGCAGCTCTACTGATAACCCTATATAGTAATTATTCGAACACTATCCAATACTATAAAATTCGTTCAGCAATATACTGATCGACCACCAACGCATACTCCAGCAGATGGCAATGACCACATATCCTAGACACTCTCATCCAACCTCCACTACAAACGACTTACATATACACCACATGCAACAGCCCTATAGATGACGCCTACAGAACGACTCGGTGCAAAAGGACAGCGACCCAAAGTACCATCCACGAGACACTAACCCAGACGAGCCTAGTGGAAATAAACGAGCACAGTCAATCTTCAACGACCATTTCAAAAACCACAATTCGATGAATCAAGTCACTTGGAAGTATCTCCCTCGAACGACATCCTACCAATGGATTCCCAGGAGTCGACATAGCCTCGCTCGTGCGGCAGTACGCCCCCAGTCTCGTTTCTCCCTCCACGCGCACAGGCTCACGGCCGCACACATACACCGCCCATTAACACCGTCGCAGATGCTTCATCCCCAGTCGACGGGGTTTTTGTCGCTCAAACTGGCCTGTGTGTACGAACACGGTGACGGTCGGATGAGATGGGGACGCGGGTTGAGCCTGGAGCAGGAATACGGATGTGATGACCCGTCTTGGATCAACTGGGCAACTCACAATGGGATCGGAACCTGTTTCTCACTACGCGAGGACGGATGAACACGATGCGTCTTGACGAACAGCAAGTCAGCTACTTCAGCGGCTGCACCATTGGTCCCCGTCTGCTCTTTAGGGAGAGGTCGGGCCATTACGAAGCTACTTCCGCCCAAGATGAATGACTGAGCGAGTCCGCGCATCAATACTCGAGTATGGAGAGAACGGCACTGCAGATGGGGTATCTCGCAGCAGTGGTCCAAGCCCTTCGAGACCAACTGCACCGATAGCCATGGCTGAACTGCAGTAGGCTATGAAGAGCATGCTGCTTACAGGTCCGATCCAACGTTAATGTACGGAGGAGAAACCCGCCAGGCGCCATTGAGTATGCTCTGCTGTTAAAACATTTCACAGCGAGTCAAAGGATCGATCCAACGCGAAATCCAGATTCAGTGAGTTATCGTAGACGGTCTCGAATCCTGCATAAACCATAGCGATACCGAACTCGTATTCGACGCCTTACAGGAGTTTTACCAGTCGCATGGACTCAATAAGCAAGCCAACCACAAATCGGATGCTGCCAGATAGCACTCCGTCTGAAAAAAACAAGATCAGGACACGGAAGATAAGGTGATAGGTTGGACATGCATCCGTCAATGGAATACACTACTCGTAGAGGTAGCCATAGCATAGCCCTCACAGATCTACACGCAAACGCTCGACGTACAGCTCCCAGCCCTTACTCTGTCGAGCGGGGTTTTGCCTCGGACCACCAAAATATATAACCCACATGTCCTATCACAAGTTCAACAACCCAGCCAAAACGACTGAAACAACACCTTACCTGACCTCCAGCCCATCCAAGCCCAACTACAAACCGTACCGCCGTGGACCCGTGTATCAGATCTCAAAAAAGACACCAACCACGTCCCGCGCATCCCCATCTCACGCTGCAAGAAAGCAACAAATCGGATGCTCCATCATATGCATACATGCCAATGCCAGTAATACTACTAGTAGTAGTGATTGCCTCATCTCATTTCGCTTCCCCCCTCCATGCAGTCGACATCACACACGTATGAATGCAATTCAACTTGTGTCCCCGCACACAACAGCTAGGCGCTCTGCATACATGTGACAACCGTCTGAATAAAACCATACCCACATCTGGATAGATATCTATTATCCTGTATTATTAAAATAGAAAAAAAGAAAGAAGTTCTAGACAATGCTAAATCCTGATGCCTAGACACGATGTGGCTATGACATGGGGGACGGACACCAGGGGGGGGAACTTACGCGGTCATCTGGAGCCTGGACAATCCATCCGTTGTCCCCCATACTACTCCTACTACCACCTACCTACAACCTTTCTACCTTTCTACCAACAACATCCGCATCCACGGGTGTCTCCGACCACAGATCAGCAACAGCTAAAACCAGCTAGCTAAGCTAGCTTAGTTAGATACCTGATACCACCCAGGTAGCAGTTTTGCCACACACGACACGTATGACAAGTCTTGACCCAGGGACCACCCGAAACTAAAGCACCCTCAGCACAAGCAAACAAAACGGTCATCAGCACCAGTTCCGTTGGAACCCCCCCCCGCCCCCCCAAGTAACTATATCAAAACCAACCCAAACCAAGACCCAAGACTGGAATTAAAATTGGATAGTTTGAATCTAAATCGAGTGCGCGAACTAAACATTCATTCCATTCACCCCAGGTAAAAGGAAAAAGTTAAAAGTACATAGTTAACGATATTGAAGTAGAGTTTAAGTTCAATAAACCCGATCCCCATGGTCTTTTTGTTCGTTCATAATCCCCATTAATGAATCATAGACTACATAACTACTTCGTACTAGTTTTTTGCCGGATTGGAAGCCTCTTGCGAGTTCCACGGAGTCGATAGAGAGATAGTCCAGGTTATGGAAGCGATCATCGCCAACGTGCCAGTTTGCCAGCCACCGAGGAAATTCGGGCTCCACAGCCCTACTACTCACTCGCGAATAGAAGAAGCCAAGTAATCCGACGGGTCCGCGGCTTAACTCTGGCGTTTTATTATTTGCCTGGGAAATACGGATATATTCGATTTTGGGTTTGATTTTGGCATTGGCATTGTTATGGTTATTTGTTATTTTGCCCCTCAAGTCACGGTAATCTTGTGGCCTGTGGCTAGTTGGGGTTAATTGCCTATTTACTAGATCGTTAGTCGACTAACTATCTCCGGAGGATTTTGTAAGGATCCTTCTTTCTAGTCTAGTGTTTCTTTTCTTTTGATTCATTGATTTGATTTCATGTCAGCCGAGGAAAGGAGAAGGTGAAACTAGGGCCTGCGAGGTAAGCATGCACGCCCACAGTTCACAGCAGGACCCCTGTCGGTTCAACATCAGATTCAATGGGATTGCATCGTGGTCGTTTCTGACCTGTTCCATTGATTCTTAGTGAGATACTGTAGTGAGTTAGCTCAGTAGGATCCCCATAGAATTCGAACTTAGAAAACTTCAACAGTCATAAGCCCATGCACAGTTTTCAGTTCCCCCCCCCCACCCCTCCTTCTTTAATTAGGGATCTTAGAGTACTCTCGGGGAATTTACGAAATTAAATCAGAAGTAACCAAAATAAAAGATCAAAGAGGCAAAGTACCACAAGAAAGAAAAAGCAAGCGGGCCCAAGCCCCAACGGAAGTAGCGGCTATCCGGACCCAGATTTAGACTCAGGTCAGCCATGTGGCTTTTTGCTATCTTGGTCTCCGTAGCCAAGGCGAAAGTACTCCATCCCAGACAGAAAACAGTAGTCCAGACGAAGGTGCAGAAACCGGATGGAGATCGAAATGGAAATGGAGACGGAGACTGGAGCACAAGAGGCGCGTGCGACACTTTCAACTGTGGTCGACTAAGATATCTTTACTCGGCCGATGAGGGTTTGCCCAATTTCCTGCTGTGCTTGGACGTATCTGGACTAGGTTGGGTGAAATTGGTGTGGGCGGAGAAGGATAACTATACACCGTAGAAACGATGGCGGTGGATCCTCCCCTTGGGTTGGATTTCCTTTGGAGGATACTGACCTCCGTCTATACCTTCCGAAGGACAAGAGATAGGCTTGGGACCAGGCGGGACTAGCTATCGCTTGCTCTTTACCCGTCGAGGAAAATGGCGTACAAGTGGTCTAAGGTACACCCGGCACAGGGTTGGTTGGTGAACTTAATGCTCCTAGAATCTTGGCCCCTTTAGTGGGAGAGTCGAAGTCGGATCCACTTAACGGTCAGGCGATTTGGGGTTATTGGTTGTTGGGGGGATTTCTTGGTGGAGCTGTACGTGTGGGAATATTTGGCTTGGGGATATCTGACTAAAGCTGCGGTACTGGTTACGGGTAACTCAGTGAGGAGTCCGTCTGTCGGTCTTCGGGGAGGTTGTGTGGAAACAGGGAAAAGAAAAAAAGATGAGAAAAAAAAAAAAAAAAGAAAAAGAAATTGCCTAGTCCAAAACCCCACTGCAAGACAAACTTTTGCGACTGCAATACCTACATTCTGCCCCGTGCTCCACTTTGATCTACCTTGACACTGCAGCTCAGGATCTTAGGTACCGATAAATAATTGACGATATTGCCTGTTTTGGGAAAACATCAGTGGGGACCCCGACTATCACTCATCAGGGATGGGTCGCAGGTGCATTTGTGTCCCAGTATCACATCGCTCCTGGGATTGGATTCCCAGTCGATCTTTGCGTTGATAGGGGGATCTGTAGGAAGATCCAAAGGGCATGTGGCACGGCATTGGTGACATGGCTAAGCTGGAACGGTTATGGGGGAGGACGAAAGTGGAACGCACTTCGTATCCCTTGACGAAGTCGCGAGGAGGGTCATCCGCAGAGACCTGAGTTCGTCCATAGTATTGGTCTCGAGAGGGGTGCTGTGAATCTGTGCGAGTCCGCTACGTATATTAAGTATCCATCAGATGAAGCACCGGACGCAATCACAGAGGCTGGTGGGAAAAAGCAAAATCAAGTAAAAACGGAAGGGGGGTAAGAAAAGAAAAAGAAACGAAACGACAAGAAAGGAGCGGAAAAATTACACATAAGTGATGTGCACTGCACTATCACTCCTACTAAAGCAGCGCGACTCCATCCCGTTAGGCCACTAAAGGTCATGTGGTTGCATCTCAATCTTTGGTCGGTATGTGCGGATTATCCTGCATACAGTCATTCTCAT